TACATATACAAGTAACACAGTTGGTTCCCAAAGGTATTTGGGAAAAATTCCCTTATGCAACTCTTCCAAATTTTCAGTGCTGTTCATTTTAAGCCTTATAGATGGTTCCATTACAATGAGTGCAGTATAATAATTGCATAGATTTATTTTTCTAATTTAAATTCTCATCATATATGCTGGTAAATACAGCTAGTATATAATTCTGCAGGCATATGTATGTATTTTTGTGTGTGTGTGTGTGGTTTGTCATAAATAACAAATATTCAATATTTATATCAGTAAGATATAAGGAGATACTTGTTTTAATATTATTGTTATATATGATTATATACCTCCTGAAGAGTGGGTAGACAGTCCACCTACGAGACTCTGGGATGCTGAAGGTAACATCAATCAGCTAAGTGACAAACCTTTACTTATTAACCAAACCAATTTTTTTTTTTACGTCCACAGATTAAATGTAATTTTGTCAAAAGAAAGAACGAACTGACTTCTTTTTCTGGGATAAGCTAAAGGTGTACTTGATGAAAATCACGGATGCAACACACTTGATTGAACACATAAAGAGTAAATGATCTAAAAGGTGATCGAGTTCATGTGAATATTGCAAAGTACATCAACCTTTGCATCACAACTGATGGAAATCATATTGAAGATGTTATTTATTAATATTCCAATTCAATAAAATATTGTTGAAAGTTTCATTTCTTGAAAATATGCATTTTTACCTGTGTCCAGACTTTAGTAACACACACACACACACACACACATATATATATATATATATATATATATATATCATCACCCACAGAATTGGTGAAATGCTCAATAGTAGCTTTATTACCAGAGTGATTGCCTTTAGATGTCTTAAAGGCTTTTGGTAAGTTGTGACATACAGTGGTGGGGGGATGATACACAAATTCTCTGACTATGGAAAATCTGGGAGATCCTACACAATCATCAGGTCCTTTCTCTCGGGTAGATCTATGAATGTCATTGTGAATGACCAATTTTCTGAAGCCAGTGAGATCAATGCAGGCATCCCCCACCCTTCCAAGGGTCTCTCCTCAGTCCCACCCACTTTCTGCTTTTTATTCACAATCTGCCATGGATAACAGCTCAGAATGAGAAATCAAGAGAGCTGTGTTTGAATTCTAGTCAGGTTCGTTACATTCACTTACTCTATCATTCCCCACCTGCCAAATTATGGGTTGAATAGTTGAACAGACAGGGTCCTATAGCCCTGGGTAGCAATCAGTCTACTGCTGAAAGTAACGGCAACCTACTGTGGGGAAATGTTCTGCCAAGTCAGTGATGACTTGAAATAGACATAATCGCCCAAGCGTGTATCACATGACACTTGACTGATTGCCCTTGGGAACATTCTTGGATCATTTGTAAGCATCTCTGCAGGTGATATCATTTTTTATGGATGCATTTCCATTAACCAAGATGATTGGAGATTTAAAATTGATCTCACCTCTGACCTATCTCTAAAAGAACAATGAGGAAATAAAACTGGCTTGTAAGGTTCGGTACTTCAAAAAAACCAAGGTAGCGTCATCAGCAAACAAACGCCTGAGTTTTATCCAGTCAAAATGTTGCTCCATAATTTGAATATCTCGAGTCACAAGTTCACTCCAGATCTCAAGTGCACATCACATTGAAATACCACATTATCCCAAAGTTAAGCAACATCCAATCTGGTCAGTACCTGGATAGGTAACCACTTGGGAATACCAGGTATTGTAAGCTTGGATGTGCAGGTGGCGTAATAGATTACTGCTTGGAATTGTTAATCGGAGAGCTGAGTTCCAATTCCATTTGGGTTTATTATATTCACTTACATACAAATACTCTTGGAAAAGGTACGAATGCACCTCTTCTCTCCCAGCTATGGGTTAATTAGTAATTGTATTAGTAAGCCATTATTATACTTTGTGAGTGGTTTCATAAATGCTCAGCATCCCCTGTCTTTTGATTTTCAAGCGATTACAACATTGTCTTCACTGTTTCCGATCCACCATTGTGATGCACCACTGATCAAGATGACTAGTGATATGAAAGCATGCAGGGTATGGTGGATTTGTGCCTTTATTTAGGGCTATTAATACAAGTGAGTGGCATCTACCCTGGCCAGATTTTGCAGATGTTTGTTTCACATTCCCATTTTCAAAGTTTACAACAGCATCTAAATAAATCATGAGGAAATTATTTATTTTTTATACTAAAGTTCATCCAATACAAGTATGCACAATTCCTGGTGTCATCCCTAATCAGCAGTAACCAAATATGTACCTCAGACTGACATGGTTACCATTTAGCTGACCCTTCACGTGTTAGCACGTGATTTGTTTTGTTGTTGGTATCATGTTGGTGGCACAGTTTCACTCGATTCAGCTGGCATTTGTCTAATTCACAACCATTCACTCCTCCGTGATATTATTTTTGATCTCAGAGAGTAAGAAGATCACTGATGAAGCAAACTGAAGACAGTTTGGTCATTTTGGAAGCTACACAAAAAGCAAGAATCCTTTGGAATAAAGAATTAACTCTGGATAAAGCTATAACAACAGTTTGGTGCATATATGATTTGCTGTATACAGCCGTTTTAACCCGTCCCACTTGTTGTTATAAACAAATGATACTGGGATCCCCTTCAGAATCTGCAGCTTGTTTTAGTAAATTAAATTTCCAAGTTCTTGTTTTCATGTCCAACACAAGACTTTCAGGAACTTTCACAAAATGATGTGTATTCCAGTGTGTCTCTCTTCTTGTTCTGCCTTCTGTTATCTTCATTCTTAACTCTCTTTGATTCCAAAATCTTCAGATTATATGGAGTCCTGAGTCTGGCAGGGGTGAGGTTGACTAGGGTCTGGGTTCAGTTGTCTTCTACTTTAGGTATCAACCTTTTGTAAATTTCCATATATAAAAATACATCTACTCAAGTGGTTTTCCAAACTTGGAGTTGTCCAGCCTCCTTTTGAGACTGGTCAGAAGAATTAAGCCAACTCTTAACTCTTACTCTCTTTATACTTTGCCTTATACTATCACTCTATATAGGTGGTGCTAATTTCTTTCCTCTCCCTTCTCTTTTCTTTCCCACTTTCTCAACAGCCAACCTCAGCTCAGCTTCCTGGGGCTGTAGTGATAAATCCAACTTCCAAAAGATGCCGGAAGACAAAAAAGTGATTTTCAGTCATTAGTCCTTATCTATCAGCTTTTGCCCTGTGCTGGGATTCTCTTGAACATCCAGACTACCCGAGAATTGGAGAAAGAAAAAACATTCTATTTTCACTGTCTTTAAAATGAAAGTTTATCTTTTCTCTTTTTGACTGAACCACACAGCTTTTTTGACCATGGTCATTTCAATATAGTAATTAATTTTTTCCTTACTACTTGTATCCAAGGGAATCTGAATTAATGTTTGGATATAAAATTTTCTCTCAACGAGAATGTTACAGAAATTACCTTTTCTTTTGGGTCGTCGATTTGAAGCATGTGTTTTTATTTTATCTTATATCTTCTGCAGATACCTTAATGGTCTCTTTCTTATTGGTGGGAGGTGGGCAAGGATGAGCATTCTTGGGTTTATTCAATCTTACTGAATTTCATCTAGTTAAATCTCTGTTCAATTCTCCTTGGAATTATCTCAAAACCTGATTTTTTTCTTCTCAATTCTTCAATCCATCTTTCTGCAATTTCAACAATTATCATCCAGTTAGCAGACTCTCTCCTTTTTCCTTCTTTCTTTCTCTTTTTTTTTTTTATCAACCTCCAGAGATCTCAGTGACACACAAGGTTCAAGAGCTACTCAAGGTAAAGGAGGCTTATGGCCGTACAGCATTGCAACACTGGTTTCCATATGATCACTGAATTTAAGAAATTAGATGGGTGACCACTTGGGAATGCCAGGTGCTGTAAGTTTGGATGTGCAGCTGGTGTAATGGATAATGGCTCAAAATTGTTAATCAGAGAACCAAGTTCCAATTCTAGTTGGATTTGTTATGTGCAAATACCCTTGGGAAAGGTATGAACCTACCTCTTTCCCCCAAACTATGGATTAATTAATAAAATTTGTATCACTAACCATTATTATCTCAAATAAAAATTCTTATAATATAGAACATATTTCCTGGCTTTAAATAACCTGCAAAGGGTTGATAAGCCATAAAAAAAATAATCAACCAACAAAATAAATCCAGATCTCAAGTGGAACTCATCTGTACAATCCATTACCAAAGATGCTGGAAAAATGGTCAGCTCATTTTATCACTCAAGAAAGTATGCCATTTGGCCATGGTTATCTATACAAGAGTTACATTCAACCAAAAAATGGAGCATTGTTGCCATATCTGGCTGGAGTTGCTCAGTCCTTGCTTTCTAGCCTTGATAGTTTCAAATCATTTATACAGATTTGTAGAGGATGACTTACTTTCTATTTTGCCACCTCTTTCCCCACATACAATGTTGAAAGCCTATCATTATTTCTATGTCTAATGCTCAGAGGAGCTCCATTCTTTAGTTCCACCAGTTCAGACTTTCACAGCCAGGAGATGTTGTGCTACTTCCCTAGAGTTGAATCAGCCTCATTTCCTTCATATTCCAAATGTAAAAAGAAAGTTCCACCCAGCCAACTTTTTCAAAAGAACTGACATTCTGTGAAACGGACTTCTATGTGAGTACTTCCCTTACCTCTTCAGGTCAAGGGTCAATTGTTATCTATCCTCATAATCTTCAATTCCTAACACCTCTTTCACTCATATCACACTCCTCATTTATCTTAACCATTTTAATAGCAGTCATCTACCTTGAGTGACTCACAAGCCTTTTATTGGGTTTAAAAAAAAAAAACAATATAATGGTAGCTATAAATAGAATGTCTGTTATTTATCCATAGAGAAAGATATTGAGCAATTTTACTTAACAGAAAAGACAATGATTTATTTAAATTTTCTGCTGTATATTGTGATTAAAACTTGGATTTCCTTTATTTCCAGATTGGTGCCATTATATTGACGCCGACTCGTGAACTGGCCATTCAAATTGAGGAGGTTCTGCAAACTTTCTTGAAATATCTTCCACATTTTAATTCTTTAATTTTCATTGGAGGCACAAGTGTTCAAGCAGATGTGGAGAAATTCTACAAAAATGGGTCTGTTTCTTAAAATTGCAATCCAGCTTCCTTGACTTATCTCTAAATTTCATTACTAATTTCATTACTAATTTCATTACTAATTTCATTACTATTACTAACTTATTTTTGAGAGCAACATTATGAAACATCTTTGAGAGTTTTTGTCTGTTGCAGCATTTTTTTGTAGGGGTGGAGGTAGAAATTAGAAATAAACACTGAATTTTTGAGGTAAATAAAATTTCTTCTGAAATGTTAGAACAGAAAGAAATATAAGTGTTAACAAAAAGTCTCCCTATTTTACATACAAGAGTGCACTACTGTGTTCATAAGCTGAATTTTGATCTGAAATGTTCATTGTATAATGCTTAGTTAAATGCAAATTAAACATTATATATAATAATCACCACTAAGTTTAGGTGCATTGACAAAGAAGGAAATTGTTACAGATAAATATTTGTGTAAAATAAATGCTTTTTTTCATTAAGTTATGGGTATATTGTTGTACCTATGTACACACATGCACCCCAAAGAGGATAACTGCAATGAGTAGCCATGGTTACATGCAAAATAAGTGACAGTACTGTCCAACAAACAGAATTGACAAAGTTTGCAATAAGCAATAAGAAGAAAAGGAAAAGAAGAGGGCAATAAATAATATAAAGCAAGCAAACAATATATGCAAGGCAAAACAACAATAATAAGGCAAAAAGTTCACAAACTAAGAATTGGTGTTGACACACAAAAGCAAGTTGGGACAAGCAAACATAGCATTCTGACTCGAAGACAGGACAGACCGGGACTGAATCATATGAAACTGAGAACCAGCCTGTTTTATTGGCTTGGTAAAATGAGTGCAGTCACCCATTAGATTGAGTGGGGTTGTTGTTGGTTTCAATCCAAGTGGGAATGACTGTAAAATACTTGCCCTCCCCTTTTATAGACAGATGCATACTGGGATTTTTTTCATAGCGAATAAAATAGGCTGATTCTCAATTTGATCTGACACACTCTCAGCCTGTCTTGTCTTGAATGTGGCATGAGCTTAAGCCATGCAAATGTAAGTTCATTTTTGTAGCTGTATTAAAGTTACAGCAACCGCCGTCTGTCTAACTCTCTGTATTGAACTGATCCAATCTTTCTATCAAATCATGAAATGAAAGTAATCCTGAAAAGTCACTCTTCCAGTTCCTTTTGTATTAATGCAGGTGTCCCCCAGGGCTCCATTAATGCAAGTGTCCTCCACGGCTCCATCCTTGGTCCTACTTACTTTGTTTTTAATTTTCATTTACAACCTTCCTGATTGCATCAGCTCTCAACTTGGTATTTATGCTGATGACACAACCATTTACTCCTGTCTCGATAGTCTGATCAGTTTGATAAGGTCAAAATGGCAGCTGATATCCAAAACAACCTTTGGTCTGTTGTTAACTGGGCAAAGAATGGTTTGTTAATTTTGATGCCTCCAAAACTTAGCTGCTCTCTATTAATCATTTGAGAGACTCCTCTCTGCCTTCTACCAGCATGGCTGATGCTGACCCCCATGAAAGTGACTGATTGTGCTTTTATTGACATGAAGTGGAAAGATTATATTGAATCCATTACAAGAAAGGTTAGTTCACTATATTGTGCAAGATGATTTTTCTCTCCAGTGTCTATCTTACATATTTATAAATCTACTATTTATACATGCTTAGAATATTGCTGTCACATATGGTCTGGTGTTCCTTCTATCTATCAAGAGATCCTTGATAAAATCCAAAGAAGAATCAGCAATATTATTGGCCCCTATCTGGCATCTCAACTTCAGTCACTTTCCCACGGCCATAAGGTTGTTTCCCTTTGCTTCTTCTATAAATACTTTCATGGTAATTTTTTGGATGAGCACATTGCAAATTGCAGTTGAGTTATCTAGATAAAAAGTTCAGACTCAAATTTGTCACTACTGTAATCAACCAGGTCACCTGATATCATACTAGTGAGAAACTAGAGTTGTGGTCTGAACTGTGTCTTTTTTTTTTTTTTTTTTTTTACTTCTGAAACTAAATTGTCAAACACTAACAGCTTATTAGACAAATTGACATTTTATCAAGATGGCTCATTTTTTTTTGCTTGGTACGACAACCAACAAAGTAGGTTGGAAAATTGACTGGACAGAACTGTGACAAAAACCACAGTAAAAATGAAAAGTAAAAAATAAAAATTTGGCAAATCTGGACCTTTATGTATCTTTAATCAATTGAATTTTTGGTAAACTTATATTTACCAAAAATTCAATCTATAGAAGATATATAAAAAAAAAGTATCATATCAAGAATTTTTTTCTCTTTCATTTGAAAAGCCAAACTCATCTGAAAAATGCCTTTGTTGTTTCTCTGAGTCTATGCATTTTTTTTTTTTTATTTCAATAAAAATGAAGTTAGATTTTTTTTAATTTTTATCATCTGACTTTGATTATTTGTTTCACTGCTGGGTAGAATATATGAGGTACAACAAATTCTTTGTCATTCAACAAATTGGCAATGAATGCCTAATGGATCATACAAGCCAGGATTATTGTTTTGTAAAAACTTCTTTAAAAACAAAACTGATATTGATTGTCTTGAAATCAGTTGAATAAGAATTTATTTAATCAGTAGATGCAGGTCATTAATTAAGAAATGGTTCCAAAGCTCTAATAGTCTGGTCTTCATAGGAAAAAAAAAAACTTAGGTGCTTCACCTAGAAGCACTGGTTAGCTCACACACTCCCATTAAAACTGTAAATAGTTATATGCTGAATGCTCCACATTTTTGTGCTGACAAAACTAATTTTCGTATTCCTACCAAGAACAATAACAATGGAAGGAGGCAAAATGTGGGTGGGATGGGTTTTAGGATTGTCATTACTAAATAATATAAACTTCTTTGAAGGAATCTGTAATATTTGTTTGTGCATCTAAAATATATATTCTTTCAAACAATTCTTTTTTTTTGTTTCTCATCTCCTTTTAACAGAGGTCATATTATTGTTGCAACTCCCGGTCGATTGGAAGACATTTTGAATCGTAAAAACTCTCTTATTAATATGGCCAATTGTGTTAAATCTCTTGTAAGTGTAAATTTTCTTTGATTTTTCTTTTTCCTCAAATATTCTGCGTTTCATTCTATTTTTTTTGCTAAAATTCTGTCCCTCCATTATAAACTACTTCTTTCCAGATTTCAACTCGATTTATCTCCCTTGGTTGTAAAATGATGCAAGCAAGGTTAAAGTATGGCTAATTGGTTACAACACTTTCTTAAATTATTTTTTAAATAATTTTAAAATATTTTTTACTTTAAGTAATTTCGAAAAGTTCTTACTTCGTTTTGAAAAAGTTTGTTTCTATATTTAATAAGTTTATCACAATTTCAGGAAGTTTTTGTTATGGATGAAGCTGACCGATTGCTAGAAATTGGATTTGAAGCCACGTAAGTAATTTTTTTTTAATTTTTGTGAAAAACATTTACAAAGCAACAAAATTATGCAAAAAGTTTTGATCATAATCCAAATTTCTGTTTGACCAATTTTTACATTAAACAATTCTAATGGGACTTGCTGAAATGATTACATAGATCTTTGGACTCTATTCGTTAATGGAGAATGTTATTTAAGGATTAGAACTTCTTCATATTTTTAGCTACATATTCATACTCCCCCCTTCCTTATAAAATTGTGCAATTGTTTATTTTCCCCCTTTTTTTTCATTCAGGTTAAATACAATTTTGAGCTATCTTCCCAAGCAACGTCGGACTGGTCTGTTTTCTGCCACCCAAACTAATGAAGTTGAGAACTTAATCCGTGCTGGAATGAGAAATCCAGTTAGAATATCTGTGAAAGAGAAGCAGAAAGCAGCAAATGTGATCCAGAAAATCCCAAGCACTTTAACTATTCATTATATGGTATGCTATTTCAAATTTTAAGTTTGAATAATCACTTGGGTATTACTGGACATTTTTGTAGGGAGAAAAGTGTGTAAAAATTGTTCTTTCTTCTCTCACTTCTTAACAATTCCTACCTAGTCAATTACTCGGCAACAAGTGTTTCCTATTTGATATAGTAGTAACCGTCTTACCTGTCACTTCACTATGCACTTTTTTATGTCCTTATTGACAGCCAAAATTTACATATGTGAAAAGATAGTCTTGTGAGAGAGTATCCAACTCCAGGATTTATCTGTTTTAGATGTGTGACACACAAAACCACCTTTTTTCCTTTATGGATAGTTTACACGTGAGACATATTCAAATCTGTGTTCACCCTAGAGGTAAGTCATCATTGCAAAAAATGCACACTACCCTGATCCTCTTTACCCCCTGTGGTAATTCACTACACTCCTCACTAATCTCATGATCACAGCAAATGCAACCAGGTTGAGGCCTCTTCTGCTGGGTATCCCTTTGAGTGGGAGCAACATATGCTTCATCTTCAGATAAATCACTGGGCGAATCATTAGATTCTCCTGTGCCAGATGCTGCGCTGCTGGTATCAGGAGAATTGCCTGGCAAAGTCGATTTCAAGTCAAGTAACAGCTCATTTTCTGTGGAATTGCCTCCATGTTCAGATAGAGAATACAACCCCCAAAAGGGACCCCGAGTCTTTCACATGATGGGGGATTCCATCAATCTGTACTGACTATGAACTGTTAACCTTGCTTATGTGCCCGTTTTAAACTCTGTCATACACCTCCCTTGTGAAGTCTTAACCCAAACAATATCCCTCATCTTGCATGCTCCTTGAGTATTTCATGGTTTCAGCAGAAGCATCGCATCAATGCCTCATATGCAGATGTCATACTTATGTAGCACATCTGCCAGCATCGTAGAAGATGAGAGGTTGTCCTTAGGTGTGATGTTATGCCAGTAGACTGCCTTTGCTATGAAGCACTGCTTTCTAGCCACAATGGTTTTAATGCTTCTGTAACTCATTTCTACTATACTAGGTACCTCCACGAAATCGCTAAAAAAAAAGAGCATAGTTTGATGAAAAAGATGCCAACCTTGCCGAAAACAAAATTTTATTGTCTAAATGCTTATGTTATTATTAAGAGGAAAGACCAAAGTTTTTTTTAATTATTTTAAAAAAATTTTCCTTCTTTTTAGAACATTCTAAATTTTGATTAAAAAAACCTTTTTTCTATTTGTATCAGTGGAACTAGTAAATAACATAGACAATTTTTAGCACGTTTTTTTGGTATGACACACATTAATTTGAAAAATCGTGCAAAAATAGAAATAATTATCGGATGTTAATGAAACTTTCAGGAACTATTCACAGATGATCGAAATTATTATAAATATGTTTTTTTTTATGAAAGTCATGGTAGAAATATTTTTTTAAAATATTTATTACCCCCCCCTAACTAATTTTATGAAAATGCTAGAAATTGATCGCATCGGTTTTAGTGATTACAATAATTAAAAGCACAGGGCTTTGAGGAATGCAAATCATTTTTTTTTTTTGTTTTTAATTGGACATAGTACCTGAAAATCAGCTCTGAATTGTAACATACAAAACTCAATAAAACAAAGATGTTATTTAATTTCAAATGCTTTTATTTGTTTTTTATGAATATGGACAATATTTTCTGAAAGCAAAAAATTTTTTCGATGAAAATGAATTTTAATACAATTATTTGTTATTTCATTAATTATAATAGATTTTACATTTAAGTTGTTAAAATATTATAAAATTAGTTAAAAGCAAAGATCGGCTTTCATAAGTGTCCTTATGAGATAGATCTTTTTTTAGTGCGTTGTAAATTGTATCATTTTGACTAATCAGAAGATACCCAGTAATTAAGAAATGTAATTTTGTGCTTATAATCGAGCTGTAATTATAAAATACGGAAGACCAACCAGAATATAATTAAGTTCGTTATTTGAGTTAAGCATTGTTCTCCGCTGTTAAGGCCTTTACTTTTGCGAAACATGTGTGAGTGGAGTTAATTTGATTTTTCAATTTCAACTGAGAAGGGTACCTACAAGTATCAGTATCATCTTATGAAATTTATATGATCTTATTTTTATATTAATCTCAGTTACGACATTTTTCCATAAATGAAATATCAAAATTAATAATAAAATGAATGCAAATACAAATAACAGTAGAATGTAATAAATGTACATAAAATTATAGTATTTTATGTACAATTCTGATAAAATTTCATAAGAAAGGTACCTATAAATTAATTAGATACCTTTCTTAAGAAATATGAAATTTAATGTCACTCTTAACAGTTTTATTTTAATTTCTTTACAATATATTTCCCATAAAGCATCATAAACGTAAAGGTGAAAGCTAAGTACAAAAAAAAAAAAATTAGACCGCTGAAAGTTTTCGTTAAAAATAACGGGGTAAATAATTTGTTCACGTAAATGTAAATTATTTCACTTTTCTCCTTCCGTAGAACAAATTAGCCTCATGGAATTAAGTAAATATATCATTCATCACATGTCAAGAGACGCGAAAGTTTATGACCTGCTTTGTTTTATTTTCAAATTACATCTTTTTGGCACAAAAGCTAAGTTAAGTTTGGTTCAAAATATTTTAAATAAACATTATAATTTCTGATTTTCTTAAAATAAGTTTTGAAAAAATGATAATTGATATTTAAAAATTTCAAAGTCAGATTTCCAGTTTTTTTTAAAATGGAAAAATGGTCACTTTTACTTTGACTCAAAAAAAACTAGATTTTTAACGAAAATTTCGGACGTGCTAGGAACGATTAAAAATGGAAAAAAATACCCTTTAAAAAATACTTTGACCTTTCCTCTTAATAATAACAAACATTTAGACGATAAAATTTTATTTCCGTCAAGTTTGGCGTCTTTTTCATCATGCTATGCTCTTTTTTTAGCGATCTCGTGGAGGTACCTATACTATACCATTCCCAGTTAGCACATATGCACATCAGAATCAAAGCTGTATGCCACAGTTACTGAGGAATTTTCTAAAGTGCCCACAAGTGAAAGCTGTCTTGTCAGTTAAGATTTCGGTCTGTGGACCTCACCTGAAAAAGTTGGTTAGTGATATTGGTGGAATCTTGTCAACGAAGCGGTCACTGTATTGTACATTGAAAGGGACCACAATCAATAAGGGTTAGGAAGTGTCCACTGCTATAGTGTGCATGATATCCATTGAGAATCTGCTCCAGTTGTTTTTCATTTCCAGCTTTCCTTTCTGCCAATGTACTGGCACAGGATCAATAGATTGACAAGCTTCACAATTCTTGATGACTAACTTTGTAACTGTTGCTGATACTGAAGTGTTGACAGTCCTGGCAAAATACAGTGTCCTCTTCATACCCGGGTGCCCACTTTGTTCATGGACATTAGCCACCTGACACTCACTCAACTTTTTTACAGTGCTGGACATTAGTTGTATAGATTTGGTTCCTTCCTTGTGCAGTTCTAACCACTTTTGGGGTGGGAGGGGGATAGGCAATCTGTTCAATTTAGCGCAGATTTGACCCGCATCACATCCATTGTTAAGGCATACTCATTCACCAATGTGCAAAGTGTTTCTCATTCATTGTCTCATCAACATTTCACTGGCTGACTTCATGTTTACATGTGCCTTCCCAGTCAGCGTGTCGGATATCCCAGTGATGAATGCACACACAGTCGGTAAGCAGGTGTAAGAACATCATCTGTCATTGAAATGCCAGATTGAAGCCTTTTATCATTGCATTGAGTTCTGCTTATTTAATATGCTTAGCATCTCCTGGATGCAACCAACCAAGCTTCCTGAACAAAGCTCAATTAGCCAAGGATAAGAAGTGAGACCCTATATTGGACAATATATTGTTCGGGATAAAAAATAGTAAATGGAATAAAATTGCTCATAGGCATAAAGGCATTTTAAAGAGGTTAAACTATAAAAAAGGGTGTAATTTGTAATGTAGACCTGGTTCCACAAGCAACACAAAGGAGCAAAGTATTATAAAAAGTATATATGACTCTGTTTATTGTAGAATAATGTCTACACAAAGGAGATTAAGGCCAGAGACATGGTGGCCAGAATATAAATGAAAAAGTCTACATAAAAAGGTGTAAAATATGAAATGAAAGAAAGCTTAGACAGACAAAATCACATATATGGCCTAAAGAGTCCCAACCTTGGGACAGAGTACACATGGATCATGCCCATGTTAACAGAGTGGGATTATTACTAATACTGGTATATTCATATTCAGGTCAACCAGAAGTAATACAGGTTTCCAACAAAAGAAGTTTGACCATAAAACAAGCGTTAAGGATCATATTTTCAAGAAGTGGAATTCCAAAAATGTTAGCATCTGACAATGCATCAGAGTTCTGTGACAAGGAACCATAATAGTTATATCCATGAAAATTTCATGGTTTTGCTATTTGAAATTTCTGATGAATCATAATTCTTGTTAATGATTAAATAAGTAACTTGCAAGTTCTATGACTATAAAATACCCATGGAAATTCTCCTGTTGCCTCACTGAATATTTGAACTGAACAACAACTTTAACAGAAAATGGTAATAACAAACAATAGGAATGCAGGTCATTATTTAAAGAAGTAATATTTGAAATTGTTTTCCACTTCACTGAAGCAGACAGTAAATTCATGAGAGCATTATTGCTTCTATCTTCTCTTTTTTATTGAAACCAAACAGCATCATTATGTCTTTTCCCAGCTTTCCTCATGATTAAAATGAAATAATTCATTATTTATGACGTATTGACGGGGCATAGCGTATTATCTATGACGTATTGACAGGGCATAGCGTATTATCTATGACGTATTGACAGGGCATAGCGTATTATCTATGACGTATTGACAGGGCATAGCGTATTATCTATGACGTATTGACAGTGCATAGCGTATTATCTATGACGTATTGACGGGGCATAGCACATTATCTATGACGTATTGACAGTGCATAGCGTATTATCTATGACGTATTGACGGGGCATAGCACATTATCTATGACGTATTGACAGGGCATAGCACATTATCTATGACGTATTGACGGGGCATAGCACATTATTTATGACGTATTGACAGGGCATAGCGTATTATCTATGACACATTGACAGGGCATAGCGTATTCTTTATGACGCATTGACAGGGCATAGCATATTATTTATGACATTTTGACAGGGCATAACGTATTATGTTCTCACCCTGGAATTTAGGAACGAGCAGAATTATGCTTAGACTTAAAAATTATCTGAAATTATGCCACCAACAAAAACTATGGTATGAAAAAAAATAGTGAATCTAATCTACAAGAGACAAGATTCATAATGCAAAGTGGACAGAACACTATGATAATAGAAAAAAAATGGAAATTGGATATTAGCACATACAGACCAAGTTAGATTGCAACAAGATAGCAATGAAGAAATGTATAGTGAGCCTGAAAGTAATGAAGGTGAAAGTGTCATGACAAATATGACAGTGGAATTGAGAGCAATATAGACTCTGAAGATGAACAAGAATAATCAGAGAAACACACTTATAAAAAAATTTAAACCGTTTTTGTTTTTTTTTAATCTTTTGAAATTGTAAAATGTTTAATCTTGTTAAGAAAAATTATGAGGAGCCTTTTCTCTTAACTGATTGTAGCATTCTATCATTTTATATTCTATTCAATTTATCTCTTTTACTTTTTGATTTTTCCCATGGGACATAAAACAGATTTTCATATCCAAGAAATAACTAAAAATAATTTTTCCTTCTTGAAAAAATAACTTTTGAACAAATTTGTTTTTCTATAAACATATTAAATTGCTTTATTCACCATTAGAAACACAAATTAATTTTTGCAGACATTTTCTAAGCTGTTTTTTGGTGAATTTTGTAGCCCTAAAACCTGATTGAAAAGCTTGATAAAAATACTGAATGACTGACGATAATTTTTGTTTATATTTCATAAGATTTGTGACCATGATGAAAAGTTGGACCAACTTGTACAGTTCCTGCGTGACCACAAAAATCAAAAAGTGATGATATTTTTTTCAACCTGTGTCTCTGTTGATTATTTCTCAGCTGCCCTTGCACAGTAAGTTGCTAATTGCCCTTTACCGTCTCTTTCTCCTTGTCTGATTTCCCAATAGACTCAAAATATACATGGGCAATAACTGGCAAAATTATCTCCTCTTGGATTGAAACAAATTTTTGGCATTTTCTGAAGTCATGAGAGAAAGCATTATTAATATAAGCAATAAATATTATTTAGACTATATTTAGTCGTCCCCCCACGAGGGCGTCATGTGGCACAAGGCCTTTTTAACGTGGGCATTTCCGAGCCATTAGGCTCGGACAAAAAATAGCCCATTTGAAACCGTATAAACGGGTTCAGGGCCGGTTTTACCACCCCGAAGGAGACTCCGCCCTTCGGCGTAGCCTCCTTCAGGTTCCTCTCCGTCTGTAGACAGTGTGTTGAACCGAACCGTCGCTCAGAAAGTGAATTTTATTTAGACTAATATCCTCATCTTTATTGCTTTTATCATAGTCTCTTAGTCAATCTGTTCTCTGACCTTCTTCAGTTGTTTATTGCATTTGGTGATCCTTTTGTATAGCTAAGTACTTTTGTATCCTTAAGGGAAACAATTCACAAATTTGAGTATCATTTTTGGGCTCAGGTAAGAAAATTTGACAAAAATAACTGCACTCTCTGTCTCTCTCTCTCCCTCTCTCTCTCTCTATATATATATATATATAATCTAATATCTATTCCCCTTTATGTGCCATTCATTCAGACCGTGCATGATCATGGCTCTCTCCAACTTCTTATCCTTTGTAGCTCTAAGTAATATTTGTCCCCTTTCAGTCCATGTTCTGCAATCCATTTGCACAAGATCATTAAGTACATTATTTGCTGTTTCCCTCTGTCCTTCTTGCCTTCAATATGTCATGTGAGTGTCAAATTCTCCAAGCCCTCTTTCCTCATTATGTGTCCTAGAGATTTCAACCATCTCTTTCAGATTCTAAATGTTAGTGTACTTGATTCCAATTTCCTTGAAACTTCCTCATTGCTCACATGTTCTGTACATGAAATTCTCAGTATTCTTCTGTAGTACTACATTTCTATTGCCTCAAGCCTCTTCTTTATCTGTCTATTGTCTCGTATTCAGTACCAGATTGATATTAACTCTTTTCTTTGTGTCTTTTGTCTTTTCTATTTAATACTTTGTTTAGCGTTTGGAAGGCACCTTTTAGCTATTCCAATATGACTTCAGATTTTGATGTCACGTTCTTTCATTACTTCCCAGATATTTAAATTTTGGGACTTTTTTGATTCTGAATTCTTGAATTCACAGCTTGCATCTTAAGCTGTCACTCTTGTAGGCAACTGAACATGTTGTCCTTTTTGCAATTGATGGATACACCAATTGTTTTAGATGGAAATCTTTAATAACCATTATTTGGGTCCTATTTGAACACCGTTTCCAATATTGAAGAAATATGAGGATATTAGTCTAGAAAATTTGTGGCATAGTTATGAAATTAGACTCAAGCTGTTTTATAAACTCATCAGATTTCTTAACATTCCATGTTTTTACAATTATCTCGGCAATAAAAAAAACATTTTTGATTGGCAAATGTTTTTGTTTGTAAACAAAATAGAGATAAATGTACATAACATTTACATGTGTAATGAATTTGGAGTCTGGCTCTTAGGCAGTAACTCTTCATTCTACAAAGGAAGGTTGTTAGGTTAGGAAGTACAGCCTGATGTCTGCAGCAATATTTGGATGACCTTGAATTATGTACCTTACTGCATGGATTTCCAGATTTTGCCTGGATTCATTTGGGGTAAATGTTTTTATATATATATATATATATATATATATATATATATATATACACACACATATATTTTTATTTCTTTTAGGATTTTGAAAAAACATTCTATATCTGCCATTCATGGAAAAATGAGGAAGAAAAGAAACAAGATATTTTCTGAATTTCGAAAAAAAAACAAGGTATGTTTTTTTTTTTTTTTTTTTTTTAATAGTTTTGTTACTCTGTTCTTTTGGGTTTTTTTTTTTCTTTTTCATCATTAAATGTTAATTTCTTAATTGAATATATAAATTGCATATGTGCATGCGCACACACACACACACACACACACACAATGAAATTGATTGAATAATGAAGGAGTGAAAATCTTTAACTTTGTTTTCATTTCCCAGGGGTGTATTGATGTGTACAGATGTAATGGCCCGTGGGGTGGATATTCCTGAAGTTCACTGGGTTCTGCAGTATGATCCTCCAAGTTCATCAAGGTAAGAATGCTCACTTTTAAAAGTTTGGCTTTTTAGAAAAAAAAAAAAAATTACCTCTCTTTTTAGATTTTAGCTTTTCAAGCCATATTTCCAAACAACTGTTTGGGTTCTAAGACGGCAAACCTCACTTTTCATGGTGACTCTTTATTTAGGTTTTATTTTGGGAAAGTCGTTCTGCTAGGGCAGGGGTCAGGTGGAATTAGATATGCTCTAAATTCTTCCTTTTATCTCTGCTTGGTTATGTTTTGTTTGGCATCTTTAACACGTTGACTCCCATACAATCCACCAGAGGGCCATGACAGTCTGTCTGCAAGGCACACATGCTCCTCTGCTGGATCAGTTTTCCAATTTTTTTTTCTATTAGGATTATTGGAAGTGGAATGCTATGATTGATTGCTTATGATATCATGGTACACCAGAACCACATTTTTTTTTCCTTAAAAAAGTTTTAATATTTTTTATTTTTTTGCCTTTTATTTCATTTTCTGTTTGGAATTTCTACTGTTCCCTTTGGTCATTTTTTTTTTGCACAGATCTTTACCATGCACCCATGTGGGCTGTGTGGAACTCTGGGTTGTAAAATGGACTCAGGCACCAACCAACATACTACTATTACCTCTGATGTTCTTGCCTCATATACAAAACAATGTTAAAACAAAAGTCGCTTGTACCAAAATTAACATATAGTGTTAGGACCCTTGAACAAAACGGGAAATGAAGACAACCTGTTAATTGGTGGTTGTTTTTTTTTTGTTTTTTTTGCAGCGCCTTTGTCCATCGAAGTGGTCGGACAGCTCGAATTGGTAACACTGGGAATTGCATTGTGTTTTTGGCTCCTTCAGAAGATGCATACGTTCAATTTATAGCAATGAATCAAAAGGTAATAAAAATCTCTTTATGTTGACTTTTACCCTTTTCATGATGAACAAAATTCAGGTTCATTATTTACATTATTCAGACTATTGTCCTCATCTTTGTCACCATATTTATCGCAACGTTTCGGCTGTTGTACGCTCCGGCCTTCTTCAGGTGGTTGGAATGTCGAATTGAACCCTTTATTTCGCTCACTGGGGTAGACTGTTCTAGTTCCACGTGCCATGCTTGATGGATGTCAGTTATCAGTTATCTCCTGTTAATTTCCCTCTGAAAGTTCTCCACTGCCTTAACCAGGTATTGAACTCTCACTCTTTGGGTCCTGTCACTGGATCTAACCAACGCCTTTATACACTTTCAGAGGGAAATTAGCAGGAGATAACTGATAACTGACATCCATCAAACATGGCACATGGAACTAGAACAGTCTACCCCAGTGAGCAAAATAAAGGGTTCAGTTTGATATTCCAACCACCTGAAGAAGGCCAGAGTGTACAACGGCCGAAACGTTGTGATAAATATGGCAACAAAGATGAGGACAATAGTCCGAATAATGTACATAGTACCTCATCTCAGAAATATAGACAAAATTCAGGTTACTAAAACTGATCTTATCTTAACGTTTTGTGAGTGATTTTCATAAACATGCAGTATCCTCTGATTTTCAAGCGATTACAACATTGTCTTTACTGTCTCTGATCCATCATTGTGATACACCACTGATTAAGATGAATAGTTATAGGACAATGTGCAGGGTATGGCAGGTTTGTGCCTTTATTCAAGTCGACTACCCTTGCTAGATTTTGCAGATTTTTGTTTTACATCACCATTTTCAAAGCTTACAACCGCGTTTTTTTTGTTTAACAAGGAAGGTGGTAGAGATGGAGTATTCTCACTTATTTACACTATTTATATTTGGACTATTGTCCTCATCTTTGTTGTTGTTACCACAATGTTTTGGCCTTTTTGCCCTCCTGCCTTTATCAGGTGTATATTGATCTAGGGTTTTTTGGGGTTTTTTTAATCACCCCGAGCAAGGAAATATCACTAAGATGCAATGGTGTTACTGGGTGTTAGAAAATATTTAAAAAAAAAAAAAAAAACACTATTAAGGAGTGGGCAATAAAAGAACAGGAATTAAGAAGACAGAACATAATGATATTGCATTTAAAACTTTTGAAGATTAAAGTTGACAGGGAGACAAGATGACAGAAAAGTTCCACAAGCAAGAAGTGCAATAGAAGAAACTGTTAGCATAGAACTTAACGGTTACATCGAGCCATTTCAACTGTAAAATGATGAGATCTCGCTGCCAATCTAGTACTGCACTTAGTAAAGTCTAGGTACCATAGAGGAAAGCTCATCAAAACAATTACCATGAAAATATTTATAGAAAACACAGAGAAGGTATGTTACACCGATGGGAAATTGGCTGAAGCCGTGATACCAGATCAGGACTTTAACTATATAGTAAGAGCACCAGACCAGATGTGGCAGTGACTCAAGTGAAAATAGGTGAGCAATAACTGAGCAATATTAAAAAAAAGAACTAGACAAGATATCACTGGACATTGGGCAGTGGCATGAGAACAGTCTGCCACTGTAGATTAAATAAAGACTTCAGTTCAGAATTCTCTGTAAGTTAACCTCGATTGCTGTACCACGGATGAAATCCAGAGGGCACAACAGTCCTTGTCTTTGTTGTTTTTATCACATGTAAATAGTGTAAATAATGAAAACTCCTCATCCCAGAAATGCAGACCTCACCAACAAATCCGGGAGTTCTTATTAGAACAATCAGTGAATTTTCTGAGCTGCTGTACCTTTGTAATCACCATTAGACTCATCCAACTCTTTCCAAATCCTCTGCACTGTCACCTGACACCTAAACATTTTCAAATGTTTGTATTGTGAATGCCAACCAGTACAGCATGCAGTTTCCAAATTTCTGGTAGAGTGCATTATGTCATGGTGCTCTTTCTCTCACAGACGATGTCCAACTGCACCTCGTAGTGACACAATCTCTGAACTCAGAACTGCTGAAAATGGAATTGGTCCAGTTCTTGGTACATTAGTAATTGCCCTTTTTTTCTTATGCTAAAAGTAAAATACAATTATTTCTTATGATGCTTGCTAAAGGCTGAAGAATAGATAGGCCAAAATAATGTGCTAACAAAGAAAGGGTAGGGGGGGGTGTTCTGAAAAAAGTTTGGAACCTTGATTATGCTTCTGCATTTTATCAGCAATTTTAGATGTTCATATATTTTGGTATCTTTTACAGGTGCCCATGCACAAATATCCAAAAGCAGTAATTGAAGCATCTGTTTTACCAAAACTGAAATTAATTTCTCAAAAAGACAGGTAATATATATATATATATTTATATGAGTTAATATCAGAAAATTCCCAGACTAGGAACTCTTGGCTAATTCGATAATTGATTCCAGTTGTGTGAAGCAGATTGTGCAACAAAGTTACACAATTTTCTGACATTTTGCTAGTGATTATTCACTTTAAATTAACTTTCCTCATCCTGAACTGATTTTTGACCCATCTTCAAGCATACATGCCACTCAAAAAAAAACCTGTGACTTAAAGAATATTTGCCAAAAGCCTGACAGCATTTTTGGGACTCAGTGGCAGATCTGCAGGGTTTCATGAAAAATTTGATAAAAGTAAATTGTTTGAATTGTAAAGGTCGCACAACCATTCCAACACAATCTCAACTAAAAATTGTACATGAGTAGATGGAAAGATAAGAAAGATTGTTTAAGAAAAGAAAGGTTGACTACTATATTCATGAAGGATAATACTTTTTCAAGCAAGCAATAGGTGTAACTAAAATGCTTTTTCTCAAAAAATAATGCATTAATAATAACAAAAAATCCCCAAATTCAATGTTCAACTTCTGTCCTTATTCTGAGTTTCACATATTAGGCAATTTGATAATGAAATCTATTCAAATGTAATATATTTTTAAAAAGTTGTTACTTAATTGTCTCTGAAAACAAATGAGTATGTGTAATATTCAATAAACTATAAATAGAATTCTTAAATATAATAAACAATTTACCGAAAATTATTTTTTTTTAACACAGGTTCCTATCTGTAATAGAAAAATTTCAATTTTGTAAAAATTATCAAATACACTTAACCAAACAATTTCAAATTAGATTGTTATATAATGTTGTCTTTCTTAAAGGTGTTAAAATAACTTGGTATCAAAATTAACATCTTATCATAAATATATGATCTCTAAATAAATTCAATTTTACTCTCTACCCCACTTTCTGGCCAGGTGGACACCATATTCACAAAACTCTGAGTTGGTTGCCTGATAATTGTTTTGTTGAAGTGCCTAAAGAGGAGGAAGGAGATTTTTGTGGCTTGTCACATAAAAAAATATTTCTGCCACCAAATGTCAATTTCTGCTTTTTCCATACTATACATGAGTTTCTAAATTGCCATCATTGTGAATGCATCAAGAGACAGGGTTTGGAGGAGACGAGAAGCGAGAACACGAAATTCCAAGCAAGTTTCTTGCTCAATACAGGAAGTGATGACAAGCACAAATGGATGAAATGGATATTTATTGCATAAATATACAATTATGGCACAAGGCCAAAAAAGGATGTCTTCAAAAGATACTCATATAGTTCTTGGTCACCTTGGGGTAAAGTAGAACATCTGTCAGATGCTTTTTGCAAAGGAAATGACAGTTGACCCAGCATTGTTTCTAGAATTTATCTTCTAGGGTTACAAATCGAATTTGAATTATTTCTTGCTACATTATCAAATGGAAATAATATAAGATTTTAAAGTCACAAATTGATTGTTTTTGCAGGGCAGTCTTTGAAAAAAGCATGCGGGCATTTGTCTCCTTTGTTCAGTTTTATGCTAAACATGAGTGCAGCATGATCTTCCGCCTCAAAGGTGAGTACTTGGGGAGGGGGTACAAAGTTGCAAAAGAAACAAAAGGATTTTTTTGTTTTTGTGTTTTATCTCTAAAGTTTCATTTTGCATTAGATATTGTTAAATTTTTTATTAAAATTGACATTTAAGCCTGTCTTATCAGTCAGATTGTGAGATTGTTTCACAAAGCCTGTGATTTAATGAAGTCATAACGATTTAATGATTTATAAATTGGAAAATGGTAAATATGGAACAAATTCAATAAATGTTCAGCTTAATGCTGGAAAAATAAGTTTTAATAAATTGGAAAAATATTTTTTAAATTAAACAAGAAAACATTAATATTCTTAAAATCAAGAAGAAACTTGAAATAAAGTTAATTACAATTTGTATTTTAAAATAATTTTGTGATTTCAGTGTTTAAAATAAAATCAAAATATCATTAAAATCAGCAACCTTGAAGTAATTTACCTTATTTATACTTGGACTATTGTCTTCATCTTTGTTATTACAACATTTTAGCTGCTGGGCCGAAACATGGCAAGCAATAACTGAGCAGTACTAAATAAGAACAAGTTGAGGTATCCCTAGACATGGACAGTAGAACAAGAAAAATCTATATCTGTAGATTAGCCTTTATTGCTGCATGTGACTTCATTTGCTGTACAAAAAGTCTATCCCTGGACAATAGTGTTTGAATTTCATAGTTGTGTTGTCATATCCTGCTATGGCAACAGAAAACAAACTTTGAGTGAAATTAACAATAAGGATACTGCAATTGAGAGGCCTTGAAAAAGAATGCAGTAGAATGGGAAGTAATATTAATGATGCAGAATGCTAATGGTTAAATAAAGGGTTCAGTTTGAAATTTCTTGAAGGTTACTTGGATCGACAAGCACCTAAGTCAGGCTGGAGAACACAATAGCTCAAAATGTGATAATAACAAAGATGAGGATAATAGTCCCAAAGTTAATAATAACAACTCATCCCAGAAATTCAGAGTAATTTTTAAGTTTAAATTGACCTTAAAAAAAAAAAAAGCATTGTCCAATGGAGATATCTGTCTACTGCTAGTTACAGTCATTCCTCCCCACTGCCTTTTTCTTAAGAAAAATAAGCAAGGCTGAATACTTAATTTACCTACACTTTTCCTTGGCAACCATAATAACAATATTTTAATAACAATAATTAAGTCGTATAATAATTCTAATTTGCAAAGTACCCAACTTCTTTTGCCGTTCTTTAACATTACAAGCATCAAAATTTTTAGCGCAAAAATGGAATATTGTTGCCATATTGTTTGTCACGTTCCAGCCTTGATAAAGTTCAAAATTGGTTATGCAAGTCTTGTGGTGTGTGACTTATTCCCCACCCTGCAGCCTCTTTTCCACACAGACACACCATTGCAAGCCGATCAGTACTCTGTCATTATTTCCCTGGCAAATGTTCTGATGAGCTTTATTCTTTACTTCCACCAGTTCAGACCATTACAGCTCAGGCACACCACGCTCCATCCACAGAGTCAAATCACATTTCCTCCCTACTCCAATTGTAAGGAGAAAGTTCCACTCTGACATCTTTTTTTTTGCCAAAAACTGCAACTTTGTGGTATGGACTCCCACGTGGGTGCTTCCTTAAACATTCCAATCTTGACCTCCTCGAGCCAAGCATCAATTGTTATCTATCCTCTTTATTTCCTACCACCACCTTTCACTCAATATTACATCCATCAAGAACCATTTTAACAGTAAGCCTCTACTTTGAGTGGTTTTCAGATCTTGCAAAAAAAAAAAAAAAAAAAAAAAAAAAAAAAAGTGTTTATTAGTATAAAAGTTAGTTGACATCAAGTGGAGCCTGCTGAAAATGGAATTTAAATAAGTCATTACATAAAGAAATTTTCTGTTTGTTTTCAATAAATTTCAGTGAGTGTTTGTCCTTCAGTTATGATGACCATAGTGGTTACAATTGGTTTGAAGCAGACATTTTTTTTCACAATGTAACAACTTTTTTCTGAACGTTTTTTTGTTTTTTTATTTCTCATAATGACTTTGATCAGAAAGCAATACAACCTGTAAGCATGTAAATATATTTACTTTTGTTTTTCTTTTTATGCATGTGCAAATAGGATTACTGTTATTGACATGGAAATTGGCAATCTGGGTTCAAATTCCAGCCTAGTCCTTTGCATTTACTTTCATACTAATGCCCATGGGAAACACATGAATACATTTTTTCTCCTCTTAGGTATGAGTTAAATAGCAGTGTAGACTGGGCTCTCTAGCCTTGGGTGGCAGCCAGTCTAGGATAAAGAAAACTGAATGCGAACCCATGGAGAAGGCAATGGGAAAGTACTCTGCTATCCTTTCTAAGAACGTGACAATTAAGATAATAATTATAAAGGAATCTATGGAGAGCCATGATCACCTGAAGGGAGATGGCATTAGAAAAAAAGAAAACATTCATTATTGATAATGTTATTCTGTAACCTTAAAGGAATGATAGGATACAGGGAGAATTTGATTCATGCCTTTTCCAATGAAATTAACACTAATGAATGATAGTAGCTCACTGATCTGGCTGCTAAGGTGGTTCTTCTATTTTATATCTGACAGTTGAATTCACTTTGCTGGACTTGTCAAATTTTGAAGAAAAAACAAAAATCAATGAATCAATGAATTTGACTTTTTTCACTGTTTCTCAGATTTTGATTTGTTTATCTTTTGTCTTAGATTTGGACTTTGGTTGCTTAGCAACAGGTTTTGGTCTTTTGAAAATTCCTCACATGCCCGAGTTGAAAAAGAAACAAATCACCAACTTTACACCTGTAGATATAGACGTCAACAGCATTCCTTACAGGTAAGTTTGTATTATTGCATTCATATTTTTTGCATCTTTGAAATCTTTGCAGAGTTCTCGCTGAACAAAGTGATTAACCATTTTGTTATCATCCTTGTACGATAGAAGAACAGGAGATTTTTTTTTTTTTTTTTTTTTTTTAAATCAGTATCACTCCAAGCAAGGCAGTACAGCCACTAGTGTGGAAGGGGTTACAGGGTGTAGAGGAATCATTAGTAATGAGGAGAAAGAGAAGAGAGTAATCAAGTGGTCAGTAGATAGTGATTGACATTGCATTTAAATTTAAAGTTGGCTGGAAAGCATGAAGCCAGGAGAGACTTCCACAAGTGAGAAGTGTGAGAAAAGAAACTGTTAGCATAGAAGTTATGGTTACATCTAGCCAGCTCCGCTGTAAATTGATAATATCTTGCTACCAGTCTAATACTGTGTTTAGATTCGTACAGTCTAGGTACCATCGTGAAGAGCTCATCTGAACAATTATCATGAAACTATAAAAAAAGACACAGAGTTGCAAACTTAGGGCGGTGGGTAAGTGACTGAAGCTGAGCTGCCAGATCAGGACCAATAATATTGCTGATTCTTCTTTGGATTTTATCAAGAAGCTCAAGGTAAATAGAGGTCTTGGATCATATATGGCAGCAATATTCTAAGCATGAATGAATGGTAGACTTACAGATATGTATGATAGATTCTGAAGAGAAAAATTGTCTCACATGATACAGTGAACCAACTTTCTTAGCAGCTGACCTAGCAATGGACTCGATATAGTCTTTCCACTTCATGTCAGCTGACAACATTAGCCTTAGGAGGTGCAACGAATTACTTTTCTGGAGGTTAGCATCAGCCATGCTGATGGAAAGCAGAGATGATTGATAAAGAGAAGTTTAGTTTTTGAAGGTGTTAAAATTGACAAGCCATCTTTTGCCCCAGTTAATGATGGTCTTGAGGTTGTTTTGTACATTGACTGCCATTTTGATCTTGTCAGACTTGATCAGCTTTACTATCGAGGCAGGAGTAAATGGTTGTGTCATCATCGTAGATACAAGTTGAGAGCTGATGTCAATGAGAAGATCATTGGTGAAGATTAAAAACAACGTAAGACTAAGTACACAACCCTGGCGAGGTGATGGGGACCCACGTTAGTACGAAAAGATGTAGGAGGAGTGGCTGTTCAGAGTAACTTTCATTTCACAATTTGATAAGAACGACTGAATCAGCTCAAAAACATGCCCAGAGATACCATAGCTTTTCAGCTTGCGGAAATGACCTGAATGCCAGATTCTGTCAAAGACTTTAGAGATGTCCAACGCTACAGCCTGGGCTTCACCATTTTTACCTAGAGCATGATAGACTCTTATCATTAGTACATTTAACAGTTGACCTGGAGAAACGAAAGACATATGGCTTGTCTGAGAAAAGGCCCTGTGATGAGAGATGACAAACCAATTCAGTATTGATTAGGGCCTCTAAGAGTTTCCCAAACAGAAGCAGAAGGCTAATAGGCCGATAGTCGGATGGGTCAGATGGTTCACCAGAGTTCTTAAAACTGGAACAGCAGACAATGACTTCCAGCAAGCATGAAAGCAGGAGGCAGTGAGACATTTATTATACAGTTTAAGAAGGGAGGAATAGAGACCTTGCACTTATTTAGTACACTCTATTACAGAGACACCAGTAGTCACAAGAGCCAAAGTTTTTAGAGGTTATGTGATGCCTCATTCTCTCAACAGACAGGACTTAGCTCCTTTTGAGGATTCATATTTGTTATGAGCAGTAACCAGTTATGATGAAAGCTGTCATACTGGTATAGCTGGAAATAGTGGCGCCTGTGTGCTATGGTGGCCAAGCATGCTGGTGTGAACCATGAAGAGGACCGCATCCATTACTCATCATAAATATGTCAATAGTATTTTATTAATAGCTTATCAATTTGTTGAAATTAGAAGAAAAAAATTGCTTTTCCGCTGAAAAAATTATTACCCAGGTTTTTCTAGCACAAATTTAATAAAAAAATAAATACAATTATTTTTCAGAGAAAAATCAAGAGAAAAGTTGAGGCAACAGAAAATTTTTGATGGAATTGTAGATGAAAAGAAAAAATACAAACCAAAGGTAAAAAATTTTTCCAATTTTTAGTCACCCCCATCATCCAAAAATCTGCCAATCAATTTGATTAAATAAAATTGGAAATAAAATTCTGCACAAAAAACAATTCTCATTAAAATTACTAAAGAAATTGATTTTCATTTATTTTTAGAATTTTTTTTTTTTTTATAGACTTTTCAAAATCTAGGTTTGAAAAAATAACTTTTTTTTTTTTTTTTTTATTATTTTTTATAAAAAAAAAATGTGAATTGATTTGCATTTAAAGAATTATTTCTAATGTTAAATTTAATGTACTTGACGGATCTCTACACAAACTTTAAAACTTGGACATAAATATGAATGTTTGTTATACAAATTCAGTGCAAAAGTTCAAGTTGTAATCAAAATAAGAATTTTTTTTTTTTATTGAAAATTCTTAATTTATTTGGAAGTCAAGGAACTGCAAGGAAAGAACCAAATTTTTATGACATTTTTTAGAATTCTAATTACTCAAAAAAGGAAATTTTGTGTTTTGTAGATGGAGCAAAAGTTTTATTAAATCTTACTGGAATTTTATTTATCTCTCGTTCTGTTCAACTTAAGAATAAATAATCAATGTCTCTTTGCTGGAAACCTTTGATTTTTTTTTTTTTTTCTTTGACTTTTTGCACGAATGCAAAATGAGTTTGTTAAACCAAGATTATGTCATGGATAACATATATAGATACATCAATAAGTCCACAGCCTAATGATAAAACAAAGACGAATTTATTTTGCACACAATATAATCTTCTCCTATGTCAATGCACTTAATTAAATGTTTCTCCATAAATCAAAAATTATACAGTGAAAATTTCAGATCACAATTCAGCTACACACTTATTCATATTCTTTCTACTTGAAAATGTTTTTAACAGTGAATCAAATCATTTTTTCTTATGCAGCAATCATTTCCTGTCAATGATTTTTTAGAAATTCAGAAAATGTAGCAGGTAGAGAATCCTTGACTGTTTTGATCCAATTCATTTGGCAGTTTGTTTTTTTTTTTTTCTTCCAAATTCATTTGAAAGATGACATTTTTTTTGTGCTGTGAAATAAAAACCTATTTTTGACAAAAGAAATCCATCAAAAACAGCCTGATTCAACTTTTTCTACTGTATGTTGTATTGACAAGGAAGTTGCAAGCTGATCTCTATCCACCCTAGCAGTTCAATTCCCCAATAATATTGAGCTGTTAGTCTCATTTCTATCCAAAAGACATTTGAACGGATTTATAAAATCTCTCCAGCAACTGAAATTATTAACAATTATTCTAACCATGCCTTTTTGCAGGTGGTTGCTTGGTCAAAGAATAAAAACAAGAAAGAAAGTAAAAAAAAACGAAAAGAAAATAAGAAACTTGGCCAGAAAAGAAAAATTGATGAGATGAGCGCTGAAGATTTTGCAGACTTGAAGAATTTGGATGACGATTATCGATTGTTGAAGAAACAGAAAAAAGGAAAGGTATGTTAAAATTTGAAAGAGACACATATACTTTTTAGTTTATTTAATTTGGGCTGCTAGAATTCCTTGAATTTGAAAAACTTTCTTCTGCATTAGAGCTGAAAATTAATCAGTTCCCAAAAAGTGAGAATAATTTTCTTGTGATTTTGCTCTTTGATAATTTTTTAAATCAGTCAAATCTATTTTCTTATATTCTGTTGTCATCACACATTAATCTGGCATGTAGTTGGAAGACTGTGTTGTGCCAATTTTGCAAGTGGGGAGAAGGAAACAATTTCCACAACCTGAACCTTAAAACAGAAAAGGAATCAGTTTTACACAAGATTCAATTAAATCTTTTAGTTACCTCAAGTTTAATAAGTAAATATTTTCATCATTCCACTGTTTGGACTAATATCCTCCTCATTGTTTGTTTGTTTTTTTTTTTCAAATATTATATTGATTTGGATTTGAGTATTAATGTAACACTATTAAAACACTCTTATAGATTTAAGTGTTTTATGACCAGCAGTAAAGTCTGTGAAATGAGGGTATTCAAAACCGGCCACCCACTTGACCAAAAGAGAAAATAAAAGATAAATGAAAAACTTTTGGAAAAAGTGACAACAAACTGGACATTAAAAAATTCCAATTGCTGGCGTATATTAGGTCACAGTTGAGATTAAGGTAATGCCGAGTTGCCGTTAACCATGTGCACATTGTTCATAGCGAGAGTGACTTGCCAGCAGCCTGTTGTGATGTAGGTTTCAAGTTTTCATTTTTCACTCTGACATTTATTTTCACCTTTTCTTGGGAGTTTGCAAACAATCCCTTCCCAGAATGCAGTGCCAGGGTCTCTGGTTGGTGAAAAGCTGAGAGAAGGCATGTATATATAATCTATAGGGGATACAAAATTTTATTATAGCTTTAAAACAGACATTTTAAACAGTGTGTGTATATATATATAAAAACAAAATGAGGAGGGGCAAGGATAATAATAAAAAAAAAATTACCCATCATAAAATGGTGAATTAAAAAAATTCAAAAGCTAACCAGTTTTGTTATGAGTGTTTTTTATATATATATATATACACACACACACACACACTCTTAAAATGCCCATTTTTTTTAAACCATATATCCTTTATTTTTTGGCAGTCTGGAAGGAGTACTGAGTGTCATTTTATACCTTATTAAGAGCAGCACTCACCAGAAGGCAGCCTGAGAATATTCGTCTAAAATATAAAAAAAACAAAGATATAGATACCAGTTCAAATAAATTACAGAAAAGAATTAATTTTTTTTATGCTTTTCTTATTTTAAAGTTCCTAATTTAAAAATATTTCACAGACCTTTGCTATTTTTGGCAAAAAGTACAGCTCATCGATAACTTAATGAGGAAAAAGTATAAACAATTTTTGGAATGATCATGATGATCACAACTAGTGATTGTTCAAGGAGAAACCTTAGCCCAAACCAACCCTAACTGGTTTGGGCTGTCTTGTGGCCAGATTGGGTTACTTAGAAAAATCAAAACTGCAACATTTTTCTTCTTTTTGCTGTCCCAATTAGCTCCAATTTGACAATTGTAGTTACGTGGAAAAATCATTTGTTTCTTTTCTTTGCAGATCTCAAATGAAGAATTTGACAAACAATTCACAGGTTCTGTTGAGGAAATGTGACAAAAAAAATCTTTAATTTAAACACACTGTAAATATCGAAAATAAATTTTTTTATATAAAATCTTTTGAGTGTTCATTTCAGTTTTTTTATTTCACAAGAGCAGATGTCGTCAACTTTGGTTGGATGCAGATCTGAAGCAAAGTATCATCATTTGATAGCTGAACAGTTTTTTTTTGTTTTTTTTTTGTGGTGAGGGGTCCTGCATATGAAACTTCTATTTTTGTTTTCCACTCTTGAATTCAAACAGATTTTTGATTTTTCCAGCAACACAAAACACATTTCAACTAGGGTTTCTTGACTTCTTCAGCGAATGTAAAAGAATACCTAGAAAAGAAGTATGAAAACATGAAACCAAGTCTGGTGCACAATGAGATTGAGACTAGAAATTTTCCCAAGAAATGAACCAATTTTTTTATTTTAACATGTATAAGACTTTTCTTAAAATTATGAACCACAAAAGATCATTGTCCAAAACATTAAAGCTAAAAAAATTGTCATTTTATAGGTATTGTACATTTAGATTTTACAAGTATATTAATGTAGTAGACATCCATTGATGCTAGCTGGTTTTATCAAGCACCAAATATCTGAAGTTTCTTCAAGGGTTTAATTTATTTTTCTTTTAAAAGAATTTGTGATTTAATGTAAACAAGTTTAAAATATTGTGTTCACCTGGACACTGGGGCTCTTATCCTCTCAGCACCTCCCAGTTACACTTTTAAAGAGCATTTTCTGAAGTCTATTAGTTTCTTTTAAGTTCCGCATTAAATCCACATTGTTGATAAGCATATTACATGGGGACATAAACGAGCACAATTTGAGAGAAAGTAATTTACTGACCTGTTGCAACTGAAACATTGAGAGAATCTACAAGTGGACAATGGTCATCATTTCTGGGGTTGATGGTCACCAGTTCATCACATAACCGCAACATTCTGTCTGTAAGTCCACTGCCTTCATTACCTATAGGAAAAACAAACGGAAGGTTCTTTGTTTTGTTTTTTTAAAAAGATTTCAGATTTTAATCAGTCAAGTGTAACATGTCACTTGATAAAGAGTTATTTGCCTTTTGTTTTTTTTTTTCTTTTATGATAAAGCAAGATCAACAATTTAAGATGTTGAAAATTACTGGGGGAAGGGAGAAAAAGTGGTTTAAATTTTTTTTAATCCTTTCACTGTGTCGTTCCTATGACATTAATTATCCACTTGTAGCATATGGAAAGGTCTTTTTTCAAAGCCGTCAGGTAAATCTGCAGTTAATAGTCATAAAATTTCAAGCAAATATATTCATTTTCTACAACAAAAGGTTTAAGCAATTCATTTGCTTTTCTCTCAACCCTTTTCAATGAGGATTATTGATAAATTTAAAATATTGAACAATAAAACCAAATTATCCAAAAAGAGAAAGGTAAAAATGTTCTAAACTTAATCCTTATCTGTTACCCTAAAAAAAAAAAATGTCCTTTCTCTTTTTTTTTTTTTTGTGACTGCATTTTTATTGGTTAATCCCAAGTCCTCTTTGATAAGAGTCAATTGAAAAGCCGGCCTCCTAAGAGGATTTATGCCACCTTTTTGTGTTTCATTTTTCAACAATTCTCCACTTCTTCAGGCTATATTGAAGTTTTACCTCTCAAAGAAAGTGATTAACAATTTTTTTATTTTTTTTTTTGCTTATCCTCATATTGCAGAAGGCCTTTTTGTATAATTAGCATTTGATAAAATGATTAGAAACATTTTCTTTGACCAGAGCAAAGAAGTCTATTTAAAAAACCCAAATTCATGAAGGAAAGTTTAATCTTGGTAATTAAAAGTTAAATGAACTTTATAAATTGTTTGGATAAAGTTCATCAATGTATATAATTATAATTACTTTAACCAGTACATTTTCCATTCATTCCCAAGATGTTGTGCCAGAAATGTTTTTTTTTTTTTTTTGTCAGAATCCATCTTGCACTTTTACAAATCTACTATTTGTCTGTGCATTGAATATTGATATCATATCTGGTCTAGTGCTCCTGCTATTCGTCTCAAGGTTCTTGAAGAAATACAAAGAAGGATCTGTAATGTAATCCAATCCTGATTAGGCATCTCAACTTCAGTCACTTTCCCACTAATGTGATGTGGCTTGGCTTCCCTCTGTCTTTTCTACAAATATTTTCATGGCAATTGTTCTGACAAGCTTTTTTTTTCCCTGGTAACCTGACCACGTGAATTTAAGAGTGCTACTAGATAGTCATCTGGCTCCCACCCTTTACTATTGAAATAGCTAAATGCAACCGCCACTTTTACTCCAACAATCTTTTTCTCACACTTCTTAACACTGGATCTCCCTTCTGTTTACCTGATAACTACAAACTTCAAAAATTTAAATGCAATGTCAATTGCCATCATCTGTTGTCTTGAACCCCATTCATATTTTATCCTTTTCCCTTACTTTCATTCTCTGTAATCCCTTGCATACTAATGGCACTCCCACCTAGCTTGGGGGTGAAATGATTAAAAAAAAAAAAATGAATTTTGCATTCTATGGATTTTTCTTTTCATATATGTTACAGAAAATAAAAGCTGTTCAGAAAATTCTTGTGGAGATGGCTTTAAGGATAATAGTCTAAAAATGTTATTCAAATTATTTTAAAGAATTTTACTTTTAATCTAAATCTGAAAGCAAAATCTGTTTTTAGTTTTCCTCTATATTTTAAAAAAACAATGACTTTACTGACCAATCATCAGGATTGTGGGGTCACGGAGAACAAATTGGTCGATGGGAATCACAGAAGATCGATTCAAGGAATCAATATCCTGTCGTCCAACGCTTCCAATCACTTTCCAACCATTCTTCTTTTCAGTCTGTAATTAAAAATACTAAAATGTCAGTCATTTTTGACAATTCTGAAAGAACAGAGAAAGATGAACAAAGCATCAAATCTCAAAAGTTGCACAAACCTTACTTTTAAGTTTTGGTTTCTGTAATGACAGACATGCACAATGATAAGACATTTTTAGAAGCAAAAATAATGAAAGGATCTCGGAAAAATAGAATTACAAAATTACAAGAGAATTTAACTCATTTGTGTGTGTTGGGGTGGGGAGACATTTCAATATTTCTGTAGTATTTTTAACATGTTTGTCAAGTTGCCACATGTGCCTCCATTTATTTCTATAAATCACTGCAGTAACAACACAGTTTAGGTGCCATGGACGATACAAATACAAGTAATCCTATCAAGAGAAAACAATCAAATAATGCTTTAGAATTTTGGAATCAAATATTGATAAACATTTGGGGAGGGGGGGTTGCAACTCATTCTTTAAGAAATTTACATTGAACCATTGTCCTCATCTTTATTGTCATATTCATGATGTTTCGACCAGTGAAAGGTCTGGTGTAACTTTTTTGAACATCTGACATAAAAAAAAATAGGGACAGAGTAGTGTGAAAAGGGGTTGTAGGGTGGAACAAAGTTCATCACCCACAAGGCCGTGTAATCACTTCTGAACTCTTTTGAAGGTTGGAAAGTGTGGATTGAGCAGTTCCAGCCTCAATAAGGCAGCAACACACCATTTTAGGTCTGATATGACTCCTGTAAGCAATCAGGTACAAAGGAACCAACCATTTTTCCAGTCTCTTTAGTGATCAATTGTATAGAAGATTTTTATTTGAGGTCTGTAATGAACTCAAGTCCTGCTAGACATTCAATTGAGAGTACAAGTGTTCATCATGACAGAACAGTCAGGGTCTGCTCGGTGATGAAGAAGTAACCCTTGCCTCTTTTATTTCCCCACATTCTGTCTCAAACAAAAATAATGTTCACATATTTGGTTCGTATTTGAATTCCTCATCTAGATTTCTTACCTTGATCATGTAAACCAATGACTGTTCTCTTTGAGTTGCAGACATTGGAACAATTTCCATGGCACCGGAACTACTTTTACTCACCACGGGGTTGAGGGGGGCACTGGAATCAACCAAAATTAAGATTAGAAAACAATGTCCAAGTATGAATCAATTGTGTCCGCAGACAAAAATGCTTACTTCTTTGTTCAGTTAGGGGGGGGTCTCTCGTAATGAAGGCTTAATTGCAGCCTCTGTTGTAATAAACACAGACACTTGTGGCTTAAAGACTCGAGTGAAGGCTGAGAAACTTAAGGAAAAAGAATTATTTGTTGCTCAGTTTTAGTCATTCTATAACTTTATCACAAAAAAAAAATCCTTTTCAAATTACCTGCCGCAATTTAAAAAAAAAAAAAAAAAAAGAACATATTGTAAGTGCATCAAACCCCTTTTCAGAGAGAAAATCATGGGATTTCCTATTTCTTATTTAATAAGTTAATTAATTTGAGTTTTCCTCTTTAGGAAATCTCTTCCTTTCAAATACCCCCTAAATTTGTCAGTGCAGCAAACATTCTTTAAATTTTCCAGGACCAATGTTTATTAGAGAGATTTTACAAGCATATAAATGTAACTGTTAAACTTACTATTTTTTTTTTTGAGGAAGAAGAAAAGTTAGTAAATTAAATTTTCACAATTCAAACTCAATCTTCTAAAATAAACATGACAAAGCATATCTCATTTTTTTCAATAATTATCACAAGAAATCAATAGAAAAGGAAAAATAATAGGAAACTGTTTCTTTTTTTCTGTTTCTGAGGCAAACAGTAGGAGCTCCAGACGATATATGGCAGCAAGGGCGAATGGTTGATTTGTAGATTTGAAGGATCGATTCCAGGGAGAAAAATTTCCTGGTGCGGCACAAGGAGCCAACTTTCCTTGCAGTGGACGAAGCAATTGACTCAATGTATTTGTTCCATCTCAGGTCAGTAGACAAGGTGAAACCAAGCTACTGCAGAGGTGCTCTCAGGAAGTTGAGCGTCAGACATACTAATGGGGGGCAGGGAAGGATCTCTGTGGTGATTAATAGAGAGCAGTTTTGTTTTTGAGGCATTAAAGTTAACCAGCCAATTCCTGCCCCGGTTCACAACCGATTGGAGGTCCTTTTCGAGATGAACGGCCAGGTTAGTTTTGTCGGTGACACTAGATTTGTTTTTGAGGCAGGAGTAAATTGTAGTGTCGTCCGCATAGATGCCAACTTGGGAATCAATTGCGTCTGGAAGATCGTTGATGAAGATAAGGAACAGAGCAGAGCCTAGAGCTGCAGGAGAATCCGTTGGAAACGACCTTCAATTTGTGGTTAGACAAAAATGATTGTACTAAGTCTAAATGCAACCGCAAACACTACTTCTACATCAGGTATGAGAAACTGGTTGGAGAGGGTATATCATCAATGACATCACTGTATGGGCAAGAAGGAAAATTCGGTAAGCAACAAGTCTCTCTCACCAGTCATGTTTTGAGGAGGCAGGGTGGAGTAATGGATAGCGGCTTGGATTGAGGAATCAGAGAGCAGAGTTTGAATTCCAGTCGAATCCATTACATTCACTTATGTGCTAATTGGGAAAAGTATGAATCCTCTTCTACCCCCAACTATAGGTATCTACCGCAGAAAGAAATGGCAACCTACTGTGGGAAAAAAATCCGCCTTGTCAGTCATTATCTGTCTATATTTCTGAGATGAGGTATTATGTACACTATTTACATTGTTGCCATATTTATTACAACATTGTGATAAATATGGCAACAAAGATGAGGACAATAGTCCGAACAATGTCAATAGTGCTCGTCAGTCATGTATCAAAAGATACATGATCGCCTATTCATGTATCACGCATGGCACATAACTGACTGACAGTATTTGTAAAAAAAACAAAACATGGATTCTGATTACAGCTAAATATAATGAAACCTGAAAAAGAAATCAGCATTTTATTTGTTAAGTTCCAATGCAATAATCATGCTATGGGTAGCCATGTTGCTTTATGAAATTTTCCATTTGTGGCAAGTCATGTTAACTTCTGAAAAACTTTCAGATTTTGAAGGTTTTTGGATTTGGGAATTTTAAATAAAGGATACTCAACCGGTAATAAGTTTCTTATTGGGTGCTCCAGATTATTGGCCTGTTGCCAGACTAAGCAGAGATTGGTAATATCAAGAAGACAGTCTCTGCTGCATATTTTAATTAGATATTTTGTCATTTTTAAGTAACTATTTTTTCTGACAGATAAAAAAAGAGGTTTTTCAGGAAATAATTTATTCAAGTAAGAATTTCCTGTTTGGTGGCCAAATCATCCTGTAAATATTTAATCTGTCTTTCACTGCCAATTTTCAAGTTTTATTCATTTGAAAGGGAAAGGAATGCTTTTTATCGTTAAAAAGACAAAGAGATGTACAAAATAAATGAGACAGCACATATGTTAAGTTGAAGCAGATCAAACAGAGAGAAGAGTACCATACGGAAGCCAGAACTCAGCAAAATGATAAAATTAGTTATTAAAGAAAAAGTGGTTGTTAAGACTTCCCATAGATATGGCAACAATGGATTCTCACCAAAGATTATTGGATCTCAGTCATCTGAAATGTGGTGATCAAAACAACAAAGACAAGGACACTAGTCAAAATGATTGTATCAAAAATACGAAATTTCAGAAAAACCAAAAGAAACTGAAGAGGAAGTTTTTATTTGCATTAAAATAAAAACATTTTTCTTGACCATAAAATATGAAAATTTAATTTGAAAGATCTTCAGGAGTTACTGTCTGGATATTATTAAGTCTGCATATATTCAGACTATTATCCTTATCTTGGTTGTTATACTCACAATATTTTAGTCATTGTAGCGTCTGACCATCTTCAGAGACTTATATTTTAAGAGATTTTCAGAATTTTGAACTGAATCCTTTACTCAATTTATCCCAACAAGGTAGTTAATATGGTTTCACAGTACCTGTTTTCTTGAGAGAATATTACTCTGTCGACACCAAGGTAGTAGCAGCTTCGTAAAATAGCCCCAAAATTCATTGGATCCTGTTGAAAAGAATTAGATTTAATAACAAAAAAAAAAAAAAAAAAAGCGATTTTATAAATAAGCACAAAAAACTGAAAATAAAGTGAAGAATGATACAAATTCCTAGAAAACCAATAGTCGAACCCACAGATCGCCAGATTTTCAGGATACACAGTGCAATGTCTCTTTGATGTCAGCAAGGGCAGTGAGCATCTTTTCTTCAAGTGGGATAAATCTAAGACTCTGGAGTGTCTTGTATACTTTTGGACACAAAGATACTCAGAGAAATGGAAATTCTTGATAAAGATACATACTTATAGGTTTGCCTAACAGCCAGTTCACACTCCTCCCTGGTCTTTTGAACAGGAGTTGAAGGCCATCCTTTGTTTCGTGTTTAGGTTTCCAGTCCCATTCTAGAGTCTACTTCAACTCTATACTCCTAACATCTCCGCCTGAACTTTGAAATTTTATTTGCTAATTAAATCTTGACCTCTTGAATTTACCTTTCCTGTTATCTTGCCCTTTCTTATGCTAATACAACTCCACACAGTAACGCTCTACCTTGAGTGGCCCTTTGGGCTTTGTATTGGGTGAACATTAGTAAAAAAAAAAGACAAACAAAAAACAACTTGATCTGAATGTAGTTTCCTATTGCAAGAGAAAATCAAAAAAAGAAAAGATATCCACCACTGATGATCACAGCATTTTTATTGTTTTAGTCCTTAAATGTCTCCACCTCGCAGACTAGGCAGGCTGACCATTGTGCTGGCTCCAATGCTATTGCAGCACTTTGATTCAAAGTTGTACTTCTCTTAGACTACTTGCCAACCAAGGCTAGAGAGGCTAGTCTTTCCTGCTATTTCTTTTTTTTTGCTTTTTAATCATTTCACTCCAAGCAAGGCAATAAAGTCAATAAGATGCAAGGGGTTACTGAGTGATAGAGAATATGAAAAAAAAAAAAAACTATTACGGAGAGAGAACAATAAAAAAAAAACAATAATTAAGAAGATAAAAGACATTGCATTTAAATTTTTGAAGATCAAAGTTGATTAGAAAGCAAGAAGTCAGAAAAGAGTTCCACAAGTGAGAAGTGTGATAGAAGAAACTGTTAGGATAGAACTTACATTCAACTGTAAAATAATGAGACCTATCTGCCAATCTAGCACTGTTCTTAAATTCATAAAGTCTAGGTAACAAAGAGGAAAGTTCATCAGAACAATTACCATGAAAATATTTATAGAAAAGTCACATTATGGCAATGGGAAAGTTACTGAGCTGAGATGCCCGGTCAGGACCAATAACATTGCAGATTCTTTTTTTGAATTTTATCAAGACTCTTTAAATATGTAGCAGAAGCACTCAACCAGATGTTGTAGCAATATTCACAGCAAGAACAAATAGTAGACTTATAAATGTGTAAGATAGATTCTAGTAAGCAAAAAATTGTCTCGTATGACACAATGAACGAACTTCACTAGTATCAGACTTAACAATTGATTCAATACAATCTTTCCACTTCAGATCAGTGGAAAACATTAGCCTAAGAAGTAGCAAAGGAGTCACCCCTCCCAAAGGTTAGCATCAGTAGGGATAATAATAAAATATAAAATATATAAAACTATAAAAAATAGTTAGAATCATTAGAAGTAGGATGTGACAATTATGGGGATAGGGAGGATAGATGACGATTGACCATTGTGTATAATTTATGATCCAGTTTGATATATTAAATGAATAAAACAATAAATTAATTGGAAATTTTCATTTGATTTTAAAGTTTTGTAGCACACTGGACATGAAAGTCTAGAATTTTTTCACATTAAACTTTTGTACTTCAAAGAAATGCACAACAAATGTTACCTGAATTCTATAAAGCAACAACCAAAGTGGCGGTTCTTTAGCTGCAATTATTTTGGATTTTCTGTAGAAATAAAAAAAAATCTTTAGTTTGTTTTGATAAAATGAAGAATTTCTAGATTTTTTTTTTTTTTTTTTTGCATACTTCATAAAGAAGTTTGTGTAATTATTTTGTTTTTTAGTTGGACAAAACACTCGTGTAAATAAGAAATAAAAAAAAAAAAGATTACCATAAGTTGTTCTGTAGCCAAAGTTTTCTTTCAGTTTCAAGGGAAACTTCTCCACCTCAACATTTAAATTAATAAAATAAACAAAGAAATAAAAATAAAAAAAAATCAAGATGGTTTTCCTTTTTTTTTTTTTTTAATTCTTGTTTTTTTTTTTAATATTTACTCTTTACATTTGGGTGCCTACTATAGAGCAATAAGATAAAAGCTTCTCTTGCAAGCCGTTGTTAGCAAGTTTAATTCTCATAGAGTATTCTGTTATTAAAGCTCTGGACCAACTAAGGCTAAATATAAATGGATATTTTAGTAGGTTCCCAACCATAGATCAATGTTCTGTAATGAATTTGTCTCACAGGCCATTGCAACCCCCATAACCTCCCCCCATTATAGCCTCACCCCTTATAAATTTTTTTCTACAAAGCTGAATGAAGAACCAATAATTTCTGTAGATTTGCATTTGGAAATTCAAAATTTTTTATAATTTAACTTTCTGTTTTGTGAAGCAAATCCTGAAAAGAAAAAAAAATGAATCTTGGTTTTGTTTATCATATTTGGTTGCATTTTTTTTTAATCATTTCACCCCCAGCAAAGCAATAAAGCCACTAAGACACAAATGGTTACTGAGTGTTAGAGAATATGAAAAAAAGAAAAACACTATTAAAGAGTGAGAACAATAAAAAAAAAAAAAAAAAACAGGAATTAAGAAGACAGTAGATAATGATTGACATTGCATTTGGGAAATAAGAAGCCGACAGAGAGTTCCACCAGCGAGAAGTGCGATAGAAGAAACTGTTTAGGACAGAACTTATGGTTACATCTTTGCTATCTCAACTGTAAAATGATGAAACCTAACCACCAATCTAGTACTGCACTTAAATTCATAAAGACTAGGTACCATAAAGGAAATGTCATCAGAAAAATTACCATGAAAGTATTACAGAATAGGAAAAGGACTGAAGCTGAGATGCCAGGTCAGGACCAATAACAATACAGATTCTTCTTTAGATTTTATGAAGAATCTCCAGGAGTGCCAGACCAGATGTGGCATCAATATTCAAAGCCTGGACAAATGGTAGACTTATAAATATGCAAGGTAGATTCTGCTGAGAAAAATTGTCTAGCATGAGATAGTAAATCAACTTTCCTAGCAGCAGACCTAGCATTTGATTCAATATAATCTTTCCACTTCATGTCAGCAGAAAACATTAGTCTGAGAAAGTACAAGGAGACACTCTCCTGGAGGTTAGCATCAGCCATACTGATGGAAGGCAGACAGGAGTCTCTCACATGGTTAAAAGAGAGCAGTTTCATTTTGCCGGCTTTGAAATTAATTGCTTCAGTTAAGAGCAGGTTGTAGGTTATTTTTGAGATCAGCTGCCAATTTGATTTTATTGAACTGATCAGAATTACCATTAAGACAGGATTAAATAGCTTTATGATCATCATAGATACCAAGTTGGGAACTGATGACATCAGGAAGATCAATGACGAAAATTAGGAACAATGCAGATCCAAGGACAGTGACCGAGGGAAGACAGCTGCATTAATGCAAAAAGATCTAGAAGAGTGGCCATTCAAGACAATTTTCATTTTGCAATTTGATAAGAAAGAGTGAATCAGTTCAAAAAAATGCCATAACATTTCAACTTGTGATGAAAATCAATATACCAAACCCCATCAAATGTCTCTAGGGATTTGTCAAAAAGGAGATAAAATTTAGCCACATTTAATAATGTGATCTTTGTTCTTTCCAGTGTTAACTTTACAAAAAGAGGCTCATCAACTAATTTCAAAATTCATGATTTTCTTCTTCTAAAGACAAAATCCAATTTGTTGAGTAACAAATGTTACTTAAAATCTGACACGTAGAAAACTTATTAAATTGAAAGCTGTTCATTGAAAAAGAGATATTTTGATTTTGGATAATAAACAATTCTAAAAATAAAAACGGATTTTTGTTGGTTTTCATAATGAAGGGCCAAAGTCATGTGTGCTTACCTGAAGAGATCAATTTCAAGCGTATCCACCTTTAATGTAGAGGCATCCAAACAGACACCCTGCGAAAAAGAGAAACCAAATTTCAAACCAAAAATATTTTTTATCATTTACTGTCTATACTCATGTATCATGCAACTTTTGAAGACTTAATTTTGAAGCTAATTTTAAGAGGGTCACATCATACATGAGATATAAAATTAGTGTATGTACTGCTGGCTCTGGCTACACTGTTCACCAAACTACATATCCATTTAATGTAGTCAAAAAGTACAGCTGTATTTAAAATAAAAATGATTTTGATAAAACTGATGTTTTACTTAACAGTATCCAATAATAATGCATGTAATATTTACATATTAATATCGTATTATAAAATACAAACATAGTAAATATACATCTTTTCAATGTTTATAAGATGTTTAGCTGTTTCTTGTTTGGTTGTTTATATAGCTGTACACATTTACACAATGAGTATAGTAGCATTACTAACGATACTTTTATCATTCTCTTTTACTTTTTTTAATGTTTTTTTAAGGCAATTCACCCCAAGCAAGGTGGAAGTACCACTAGCATGCAAGGGGTTACAGAGGATTGAGAACAAGAGTAAAGAGGCATATTTGAGGAAAGGATTCCGAGAAGAACAGGGAACAAGTTCAGGTTGTCTGATGTTGATTGACATCTGACACTTGAATATTTGAAGATTATAGTCATCAGGGAAGCAAGTAAGGGGAAGGGAGTTCCACTGATGGGAAGCGCGGGAGAAGAAACTGAGAAGAAGAAATGGTTACATTTAACCATTTTGACAGTGAAAAGGTAGGACCAAGATGCCAGCCTAGTAGCTCATTTAAATTCATGTAGTCCGGGAACCAGCAAAAGTAGCTCATCGGAATAGTTGCCATGAAAATACTTGTAGAGGAGACAGAGGGAGGCCACAGCACATCTGTGGGATAGCGATTGTAGACTAGATGCCAGATCAGGACCTATCATCTTGCATCTCTGGATTTTGTCAAGGACCTCAAGATGTACAGCAGGAGCACCAGACCATATATGACAGCAATATTCCATGCAAGGACAGATGGTTGATTTATAGATTTGAACTTAGGACTCGGACGAGAAAAACTTTCTGGCCCAACACAGAGAGCCAACTTTCCTTGCAGTAGATGTAGCTATTGATTCAATGTATTTATTCCATCTCATGTCAGTGGACAGTGTGAGACCAACCAGGCGTAACGATGCACTCTCGAGGAGTTGGGAATCAGTCATTCTGATGGGAGGCAGGGAGGGTTATCTGTGGTGAGCAAAGGAGAGCAGTTTTGTTTTGGGGGAATTAAAGTTTACAAGCCATTTCCTGCCCCAGTCAACCACAAATTCGAGGTTCTTTTCGAGTTCAGCAGCCAGGTTAGTTTTGACAATGATACCAGATTTACTATTGAGGCAGGAGTAAATAGTGGTGTCGTCCGCGCAGATGCCAACTTGGTAACTGATGACATCGGGAAGGTCATTGATGAAGATCAGAAACAGTGTAGGGCCAAAGATAGAGCCTTAGGGAACACCAGCATTCGTGATAAAAGAGTCAGAGGAGAACCCGTTTAGGACGACTTTCATTTCACGGTTTGACAGGAATTATTGTATTAAGTCAAATAATCATCCTGTAATACCGTATTCCTGAAGCTTACGAAGAAAACCAGCATGCCAGACCCTATCAAATGCTTTAGAGATGTCTAGAGCCACGGCCCGAGTTTCTCCATTATTGTTGAGTGCTTGGTATACAAATTCAGTTATGGCCTTGACCACGTCAGCAGTAGATTTACCTGGAAGACGGGATAAAGAGGTTAGCCTATTGTAATTTGATCTCTCAAAAAATGAACTTGCATCACACACAAGATACATGATAAAATCATTTTTTATAACTGAAAATTTTGGGGTTGCACGATATGCAAGATCACATGCTACATGAGTATATACAGTAATCTCCTTTCCGAAATTTAACAAAAAAACAGAAGAAACTTTCATTCACTGTCACATATGTCATATGTCACATATGTCATTCACTGTGACCAAGTAAATATTACCCAAGTCTTTTGATGGATTTTATTTAAAATTTTCACTGCTGTGGATGTACTTCTATGTCTTTTAAAAAAGCATTGCCTGCCATTGATGCATATATATATATATATATCTTCAAGACACCCTGAAATGTCAGTCCCTGATCTTTGTCTGATAAACTTACAAGCACTTAGTGCTATTTTCAAACCAGCAGAGACAAATAGAGTACAATACTAGCTTTTTTTTTTCAATTTTTAGTGTATTGTCTAGCTTAGTCTTACTATAAACATTATTTTTAGGGGGTAAATGTGTTTAAGATGACATCTTGTTTTTTTTTATTTTCTTAAACATTAAAATTGATGTCAACCGGCCTAGATAGGGAAGTCCTACTAAAGAAAAATGTGCATCCCAACTCAAACATTCACTGTAGTCCAAGTACACCGAGTGTTTTTATAAAAGACAGCATCTCTAGGAAGGTTGCTATACAAGGCTTGTTACCCATTCTAGTCTCATATATATATATATATATATATATATATATATATATATATATATATATATAGGGTGTTCCAGAAGTCTGGGGCACATTTCAAGTCCTCATATCTGCTGAAATATGAATGGTAGTAAGATGAAACTGGTACCATTTTAAAGCTAAGTTCATTAAGTTTTATGTAATGCTAATGATTTTTTCATATTTTTTCAGATCCAGAAAAGGCGTTTTGCATCCTTGAATTTGCAAAAACTGAATCATGGACACTTGTTCAACGTGCATTTCACAAAAAATTTCGAAAAGGGGCACCAGAATGGAAGTCCATATTGATATGGCATGGTAAATTCATGAAGAATGGGTGTTTGTGCCCAGCTAAGAGAATGGGATGGACCTCAACTCTAAATGATACGGCTGAGCGAGGTTGAACAGCCTTCGAGTGGAGACCCCTTAAATAAATCAGAAGAGCCAATAAGGAACTTCAGTTTCCTACAACAACTGATTGGCATGTCTTCAAAAAGACGACTGCACATGACACCTTAAAAGCTACAGTTAACCCAACAGTTTGCAGGACACCGATAAACCAGCTCATCATGACTTTTGCATTGCAATGCAAGAGAAGTTGAAAGATGACGGATTTGATGTATGCAATGTGACCAATGTGTTTTTATATCCTTAATAGTTTGAGATATTCAATGTCAAAATGTTCCCAAGACTTTTGGAACACCCTGTATGTGTGCGTATGTGTATATATATATATATATATATATATATATATATATATATACACACACACACACATACACATGGATATATATGGATAGCGACTTGGATTGAGGAATCGCAGAGCCGAGTTCGAATTCCAGTCGAATCCATTACATTCACTTACGTGCTAATACCCTTGGGAAAGGTATGAATCCTCTTCCTCTCCCTCCAGCTATGGGTAAAATAGCAGGACAGACTGGGTTCTATAGCCTTGGATGGCAACTGGTCTAGGAGAAGGACAACTCTGAATTTAAAAACCTGCGGAGGGTCGTTTGGGAACCTTGTGGCATTTGGTGCACCAGGTCTCTGTATTCGTCCCTTCAAAAAGTGTGAATGGTCCTGCACAAGGCCTTCACCACTGTAATCAAATCTCATGTGCCGGTGTCGGGCTGTCGGTTTCCTGGAAACTGATCTGCTTGACCCTCATATGTCGAATCTCGATGGGAGAGTCGATTATATATATATATATATATATATAGATATGAATATTTGGGGGCAGCAATTCCTCTTTTATACCCATTTTATTAAGGATGACTGACATGGTAATGCAATTAAGTATTTTATTTTTCTTGTAGGACATAAAGTACATACAGTATTCAGGCAATTTTACACAATTTATGTCCCGAAAAGAAAAAAATTATACAAACACAAGAAAAATTAAATTAAAAGCTTAACTACAATATGCATGAGTGTTGATTGTTTTTAATTTTGTCAACTGCACAGTATGGTAAGGTTAGTTGGTGCCATCTGTGAGAAAAAGAGTAATGCTGCTGAGTCAAGAGGGTGGCTGCTGGAAGACCTTATGTCTAGCAACAGGACTCTGCACCATGCCACACAAGCAGGAGAACCTAGTCATAGTTGTTAGACAATTTTTGCAGCCATATCACCCCTTACATCTGGCCACCTAACTCATCAGACTGCAAACCCCTTAATTATTATGTGTGGGGCGTAGTTGAATGAGAGACCAACAAAACTCCTTGTAACACCAAGGATGAATTGAAGGCAAGGATTATGGCAGCATTCACCAACTTAAACAAGTAGATCCTCTACAAGAATTGCAAGAGATTCTGAAGTTGTCTGTAGGTTGTGGTTGAAGCCAATGGCAATTTTATTGAATAAATTTAAAATTTCAAGATATTTTTGTAAAATATATCTGTTAAAATGAGATATGTTATTTTCATTTTTGTGTAATTTAGACAACAATTTTTCCATTATAACCTGTGTGTATGTGTATATATATATATATATATATATATATATATATATATATATATATACACACACACACACACACAGGGTGTATCAAAAGTATTTTTACAAACATTGGGGACAGGTTCTTGACACCAAAACAAGGTAAAATGTTGATATAAACATATGTCCAAAAGGACATCATTGTACCTCAACACAGCAACTCATAACAAATGTTCATAATATCCTCTGCTTGCTTCTACATACACATGCACCCCCCCCAGATCATTGACTGTTGGACCTTTTCAAATACTCCCACACAGTGTCAAATGGTTTTGCAGGCCCCCATGATACATTGATGAAGTATGTCTGCATTATTAATGCCTGCTGCATAAACTAATTGTTTTAGATAGCCCCATAGATAAAAATTCAAAGGATTGAAGTCAGGAGAATGTGCAGGCCATTGAGCCAGTACTTACCTACCTATCCATCTTTAATGGTAGATTTCAGCCACTGCACCATGAACAATGGGACTAAAATTTGCTGGAGCCCCATCATGCATGAGCCGCATGCATCTTCGTATTAGCAGGGGTACATCCTCTAACAGGTCTGGAAGTGTGTTAAAAATAAAGTCTCTGTAGACAGATCCTGTAAGATGTGCTGGGAGAACATATGGACCTACCAGACAGTCACCTTCAATTCCAGCCCATACATTAATTGTAAACTGATGTTGGTGTACTATGGAGATTCCAATCTGCCCACAAATGTTAGTTGTGTAAATTTGTTATTCCATCTCTTTCAAATGTTATCTCATCTGTAAACAAAATTGAAGAGACAAACAAAGGATCAACAGTTTCTGCAATAAACCATCAGCAAAAATTCTCCCATGGTGAGTGATCAGAGGGCAAAAAGACCCTGCAAACATCACGAATGATAATGAATACAGTAGCTGCTCTTGAAGTACCCTCCATGAGGTACTATGAGATATACAACAATCTCAGGCCACTTGACGTGTACTGATGCCTGGATCATCTCCAGCAGCCTGTAGAATGTGTTCTTTGTGGTCAAGCGTACAAATGGTTTTCATTTACAGCAGATTTAGATCTGAAATTCTAAAAGTTGTTCTCTTGTCCTTTTTTCATTGACATAAGCACAGAAATACATTCTAATTTAACTTTGCTGAAAATATTTTTTTATATCGAGATTAAAATATAACATTCCTGTCATCAATAAAAATATAATTGTTTTCAATGAATTCTTTCAAGAATATCCTCAAAGTAGTTGACAAGCAAAACAAATGAACTCCTGAATAATTTGCCCATACATTATAAAAACAAATTTTATTTAGGTTTTGTTTGAAATTTTTGTTCTTAATATTCAGCGTTTTTTTTTGCTGGTTTCTTTCTTTTTTGTTATGGTTTTGACAGTCTCATTCTCTGACCTTCTTCAGGTGAAATATTGCCTGGTGCAAAATATATTGCTGTTAAATAGCACAAAGCTAAACAAGATGAACGCTATCTCCAGAATGTGTTTATCGTAGCAGGTATGAAACCATACAAATGAAAAAGCTAACCAAGATATTGAAAGTTGCAATGCAGGAAGGAAATTGGACAATGTGGTAAAGAACACAGAATAAAAGGGATATGTCAAAAGAATTGATCAACAGTAAACAAAGTTTCACCTGAAGGTGATTGGTAAAACAGTTTTGAAAAAAAAAAAAAAAAAAAAATGATGAGAGAGTAAAAAATATCTAAAATTTTTTATTTGTGTTTAATGACAAATTCTAATTCTGAATGGCACATTGACTTTTCTGTATTGGTCATGTGAAAGTGGATGTTGTCAACTTAACTTTTCAACTTTTTTTGCACATATCCAAGGTTTCAAAACATTATCAGCTTTTGATAAAGTAGATGATAGTTTAAAAGTGTTTCACCTTGCCCAAAAGTGACCAAGGGGTATTTAACATTTATGTGTATTTCCCAAAGTCATAAATATAAATGTCCTTTTGTCACCTCTAAAGATGATCTTATGTTGAAAGAAAAGCAAATTGAGACAAGTAATAAAAATATTGAATGTGAAATTCATGTCAAGAGAAATATTTTGAAAATTTCTCTTGCAGAAGTGAAATTTTCTACAAACCTGATGGGGTCTGTTTCCAGAAAGACAATCAAGAATGGTTTTGTCAGTTGGCATCACAATAACGCCCTTCTCATTACAAGTGGTCATGATTTGCTGGTGGGGGTCAGATTTCTGAATAGAATTCTGAAGATACAATTTGTAGAAAGTTCTCTTCTCACATTTTAAGGCCAATATTACAGGATGGATGCCAAACAGAATTTCTCCACTGATTTTGGGAAGGATGAATTGTTTGCTGAAAGTTAACAATTGGAACAAAATCAATGTAAAGAGAAACAGTCTTTATAAATGGAGGTAAGCATTTTTGAGATACATGGATATGCACAGACTGAGATAGATTGAAAAAGATTTAGATAGATGTAGAGAGAAAGACTTAGATATAGAGAGAAACATTTAATGAGATAGATAGTGATATCTATCTCCAATATTGAGTATTGGTCTTTCATAAAGATAGCAAAAATTAAACAAATATATATATATATATATATATATATATATAGTACAGGTTATTGATCCATTGGTATATAATCCGGGTGGTTCTAGTAATATATATATAGTAATGCTCTGTAAATTTACATTGAGCACTATTTTGTAAAAATAAAAATATCTATAAGAACACTGTATTATATATCTTACTGTTCTTTTTTTATATATATATATATATATATATATATATATATATATATATATATAAACACAAAAGATTTCTAACAATTGGAGATACATTAAATTATTTATCTTCCTATATATTTTAAGAAAGTCAGAATGGTTAAAATATTTTTTTATTGTAATGTTGACCCTGTACAAGGCCCAGGAGCCACTCAAGGTAGAGGGTTACGTTAGGAGGCAGTTTGTACGGATTGGAGAGGATGTTAGCAGTTAATTCTAGACTTGAACAGGTTAAATCAGTCCTAATTGAGCTACAGTCAGAGAGATGTAACATGGATATTCTTATAATATGTAGATATAGTAGGCTAATGAAAGATATTTGAGAGACAAAAATCAAACAACAATAATGATAATGAAAATAATATTTATTGTATACTATTCGGCCTTTAGACCAAATAGAAAATCTGAATTTTCGGACATGCCTATTACTTTTCTCAACAAGAAGTAAAATGAAGATTGTTTAGAATTTGAATTTTTTTTTTTTTTTTAGTTTTAATTAATCAAAACATAATCAAAAAATTATTTCAGAATCAAATGTTGACATAATTGACTATGTAATTTTAGTTTGGATAAAATGGGAAATTCTGGGAAATTCATCCACAGAACTTGCTCTCTGACAAAGAGAGCAAGTTCTGTGGAACAAATCACTTCATACTTTAAAATTATATGCACATTCATACAACATTATGTAATTCTATACAATAATCTTCTAAAACCAAAATGCAATGAGAAAATCGTGAAATTATCCTTACCGCTTTTTAGATTTGCCTTTTCCTGGCAGACCATAATTGTACTCTGGGAGAGAAAACTTTGGCAAAATGTGATCACAAAAATTCCTGCATAACAGCAAACTTGGGAAAATTTGAAGAGAAGAAAGCAACTGAGATCGAAACAAAAACATTTTGTTGCACGTTTCATCAACTGAAATTTCAAGAAAATCTTTTGTTTGTAAACAGAATAAAAAAACCATCAGAGTATCAAAAAAAAAAAAAAGAAAAAATAATCAGAATATCGAGAAATATCAAAATGAGATTCAAACTGAAACAGTAATTTTGAGATGTTTTGTTTTTCTCATGGAAATTAATTCATAAGTTTAATTATGAAAGTCGTTATTGGAAAAACATTCAGTGGTCTGTGTTAAATATTTTAAAAAGACAGACATTAATTAATTGAAGTTGTTTATGAAATCAAAGTTTTTTGGTCATCCTATATTTTAGCGGTATAAATTCATTTTTTATTTAAAACAGTTCCAATTTATTAAATGATTATTTTATAATAAGAACATCTGGATGGCTACATGCATATGTCACATTCATTGTCAATAATAATGAAATATTGAACAATCAAACCATCTTGCAAGAGAATTTCTCACTATTTCATCTGACTGTAACTATTATTGTTTTTTAATGCCATTTCAAATCCTTTACTGTTATTTAATGCCATGATTTGTTTAACATTGGATATTACGGCTTTAGTTTAAAGGTCGAGTTGTGAAAATTGGTCACAAAATTAAAGGTTGTTACAGGAATCATCTTTTTATTGTTGCAAGGTGTACAGTTTTCAGTAAACATCTAATGGCTTCTGGAACATTCATCTCACAAACAATATTTGACAGATATGTGGGTCGGGGTAAAATAAGTACATAAAAAGTGAATTCTAAAACAAACAACAATTAAATGCATATATTAACAAAAGGAAATTAACACTGATGTGTACACGACTGAAAATAAAGGAAAAGATATTAAAAACTTAGCTATTAAAAATGTGCCCATTTGTGTGTGCATGATATACATGTATGGGTATGTGCATGTGTGTGAGAGTTCAGTCATCAGTGGACCAGAGAAATTAACATTTACCCCAGCGAGTATGCCTTACTTATGCACCATTAGATTTTGGAGCAAGAAGAAGGAAATTTTTTTTTTTATAGACTTAAAAGTGCCACCTAACAATAACAAGAATTTGATGAAACCAAGTGGGGTAATCCATGGGTATTAACCCTGATTTTGAACTCTTAATATGAGAGTAATCTCATTTTTGAACCTCAATTTATCTATCGTCTAAAAGAAAGCCAGCAATGCTTGTAAATCATCAACCTTAACTCCTTTTGACAGTTGAATGAATCGAAGTAGGTGAACATTTTGTTGATAAGGATTATAATTATTTTTTTGAGCTCAACAAATTTGTAATTAGAACTTGTTATCTTGCCTAATTGTTTGGTACACTAAGGAAAATTTTATGCAAGCTTTTTTTGCAAATTTTTCATTATTATTTTTATGTTACTTAATAAATGAAAATTTCTTTCAGATTTCAAACTGGAGTGAGAGTCTTGTATATTTTGTTTGCACCATTCATGATACTCAAGAGATTTGATGTTCTCTCTTTTTCTTTTCTCCTCACCCAAACCCTTTTAGCATGCCCATGTAACTATTATTAACAAAGGCATTTTATAGTGAGGAGCCAAATGTCATCTGATCAGAAATGGTCTCCACTATGGCTATTGCCAGGAGCAGTGCAGTTTAACAAATATAAGAATGGTATTGTAAAAATTGTAAGCAACACAAAACCATTCACAATGTATCTTTTTCAGTGAAGCCATATTGATTCACAATGTCTGCTATTCTAATTATGCCTGCTGGTCTAGTAAATCTAAAAAATATGTTTACTTTAAAATAACCAGATGATGGAAATGTGGTAAGGTGTGGGCAAGGAGCAGTCACCTCCAAGCACAGGTGTAAAGGATCACTAATTTTCATCTGGTTTTTTTTTTTTTTCTTAATGCCTGTTAATTTGTACAGAGTAACTCTATACACTAAGTTTATGTAAGCCAACATAAATAGTGACTAATAGACATGTTTATTTATATGTTGTTCTTACAGATCTATTAACAACAAATCATTGGTAGATGTGAAGATGGTCACCACCTACATGTAATACAGGTGTAAGTGGCAACTTAAAATTTCTGTCAAGCATGAAACACAATGAATTCTTTGATTGATTGTTTTCTATGGTTTATCAACCGTTTTCAGGTTATTTAAAGCCAGAAAACATTTTTAGATTTTAAGAATTCTTTTTGAGATGATAATAATGATTTAGTAATACAAGTCTTCATAACTAATCTATACCTGGGGGGGTGAAGTGGTGAATTCATACCTTTCCCAAGGGTGTGTAAGTGAATAAACCCAACCGGAATTGAAACTTGATTCTTTGAATAACAATTCAGAGTCATTACACATTACACCAACTGCAGATCCCAACTTACAGCACCTGGTACTCCCCAGTGGTCACCCATCTAGGTACTATCCAGGCTTGATGTTGCTTAACTTCAGTGACTATATGGGAACAGGAGAAACACAATGAAGTATAAGGAAAGAGGAAGTAAAAATTACACATGACAAACTAAGAATTTCTCAGATTGTTAGAGCAATTAAATGAAAATGGCAGAACGGCTGATGCAAAAGATGGTGTGCTCATAGTTTTCTGCAACATATGCTTATATTTGACTTTCTTATAAATTCTGATTTGCAGAAAGTTTTATCATCTATTAATCGAGTTCAAAAAATCTTCTTCAGAATGGAAAATGAATTTTAAAGAAACATCTGTTAAACTCGATTCTCTGAAAAAGAATCAGATAGAATCACATGATGAAGATTCGTGAAAAAGAACTTGAAATAGGCAAGAATCAATAGAAATCATGTGATCAGACCATTGAATGATGAAGTGAACATGTAACAGATGCTGGATTGATTGCTGCATAGGTAATTTGCCACATCATGAAGGATGTTATTGATTGCAGAAATAACTACATTTACAAAAATAATTTTATATTTACAGCATTCTAAAAACAAATACAATTGTATTAAAAACTAATGCAATGTTTATATATTTACCAATTTGTAAAGAAATAAATATGAAAACAATTTTTTATTCATAAATTTATAAAAATTTACTAATATATTAAAATATGTGAACCAACTATAAAAGAAATCCTTATTATTTACCATTTTATAAAGTTTGAACTGATTGGCAATTAGCTGATGTGTTCTGCTAAACATTTCAATAAACAGTATAATAGTGTTTAATATATTAAAATATGTGAACCAACTATAAAAGAAATCCTTATTATTTACCATTTTATAAAGTTTGAACTGATTGGCAATTAGCTGATGTGTTCTGCTAAACATTTCAATAAACAGTATAATAGTGTTTAATATATTAAAAATATGAACCAACTATAAAAAAGAAATCCTTATTATTTACCATTTTATAAAGTTTGAACTGATTGGCAATTAGCTGATGTGTTCTGCTAAACATTTCAATAAACAGTATAATAGTGTTTAATATATTAAAATATGTGAACCAACTATAAAAGAAATCCTTATTATTTACCATTTTATAAAGTTTGAACTGATTGGCAATTAGCTGATGTGTTCTGCTAAACATTTCAATAAACAGTATAATAGTGTTTAATATTTTTGTTGTAAATTCTCAAGAACAAATAAAATGCATAAATTCACTTATGTTTCAGTTTTATTAAAATTCTAATATTTGCTTTTAAAAACATTAAACATTGCCAAGGAGTGAAAGTAGTTAAAACAATAGCAGTGTCAGGGGAAAAGAAAACGTCCTTTTGACCATCTGGTTTTTGCAGGCATGACAGTTAAAGATTATCATAATAAAAATGCTTTGAATATAAACTTAAGTAAGTCTATGCGATCTAGATATTTTTGTGAAAATTTCATAAACTGTGGTCATTACGACAAATGAATGGCTTTCCAAGAACTCTGAACTGGTGGTGTAGCATTGGATTATTCTAGTAGTTATTAAATGGGATCAAATATGGATTAGAATCCAGTAGAATGATAAGCTTTGTCAGAAAATGAAATATGGAGGAGAAAAATTTTCTTTCTTTTTCTCCTCTACATTACATTCTTTGATGAAGTATTAATAAAAGTAAAACATATACACACTATAAATGTTTGCTATTTGTTCTTTATCTAGTAGTTATACTGAAAAAACAAAATCAATACTGGATGACATGAATTTCAAAACAATTTGCAAAGTATATAAATCTACTTCTATACAATAAATGTGAATGTCACTGTGTCACACCTTTTCAACTTTACTCCCAGAGGCCATAGTCCAACATATACCACTTTGAAGTCAGACCAACTCCGTGAGCAAATTAAAAACATTCCAGCTAAATCCCAAGTTTTCATTATAGTAATATTTTTTGGATTCTGCCATCTTTGCTTCTACTGATAAAAAACAATTAAAGGGACACAACTCTCTAAGTTTCAGTATCTCACTATTCAAATGCAAAAATTACTGTTCTCAAATTACAGTGTTTCAAAATAAGATTGCACAGATTTTCAACTTTACTCCTAGAGGTCGTAGCCCAAAATATCATACCATTTTGGAATCAGGCTGGCTCCATGAACAAATTAAAAACATTCCAGATCAGATCAAGATCCACAATACTGAAAGTTTTGGACTTCCAACTTTTCATTAGTGTAATTGTTTTCAGTTATTATTTAATGTGAATTTTTGCAACAAAGTTTTTTGTATGATAACAATTTTTATAACTTAGAAATAAATTTGGGAATAATCATAATTAATTGTAAAATCCAACAAAAGTCACCCATGAAATAAAAATAATTTTTTGTACATAAAGTAAGGACCTATGTACATCAAACTGTCTTTAAATTAAGTGACGGCAGAAGAATTATCATTGAACTTTTAAAAGGTAAGCTTAAAAATCAATGCAATTCTTAAATGCAGCGAACAATTTTGAGTTCTTCTGTAGTTTATTGTTGCCTATCACATCTACTTCTCCTTACCTATTAAGATGAAGACCTAATCAAGAGGCCTCTGCAGGAGCTAGTTGAAATGCCACCCAACAGGGCAGCTTTTAAGCTAGTAATATATAAATCTTAGTATATAAATTTACTTAGTATATAAGTATTTATGAGATAACGATATATATTTTTCTATATCAAAAACAATATTAGGGAAATTGTATGAGAAAATGCAAAAAGTTTACTTGTGACACATTTTGTCTTTTAGGACTTTAGTGGACTAAATTTGTTATAGAATAAGCAGTTCCTTGCCACTAAAATTAACATATCTTTGACATTTGTGCAGTTTCAAATGGAAATGACCTCTCTGATTTTTCAATGAATTAATAAATTTTGTATTGGACAGAAAGTTACATTAGATGTTAAAGTCAGGGAAATTGAGAAATTAAATATCACCATTCACTTATGATTGGAAAAAATTTAATGTTTAATGCCATTTTCAAATGTGTATATGTTGCAGTGTAAAGAAAAAATGACCCTTAAATATGATTGAAATTGATATATATATATATATATATATGAAGAAATATACTCTTAAGGTGTGCTATATTTATAGGATAAAGTGCTTAATATCAGAGATAGAGCGTTTGTAAATATAAAAGTGAACATTAAAGTCAACACTTAGAGGCAACAGGCTGTTTCATGCTAGACACAATCGTCAGGCCACGAGTGTTGTTTTTTTTTCTCAGCTATTTATATATATGGGTCAGTGGTGCATTGTGGGTAGTGTATTTTGGCGATTATTTTGCTGGAACTCACATTTTTTTTTTTTAAACATTCAACCCCAAGCAAGGTGGGAAGCCACTAGCACGCAATGGGTTTCAGAGTAGGAGCGAGAACAAAGAGGAATGATAGAGGAAAGGATGAAGAGATGTTTAGGGGATAGATCGGGGCATCTGGAGATGTCAATTGATGTTATATTTGAATAGTTGGAGATTATAGCTATCAGGAAAACAAGAAATGGGAAGGGAGTTCCACAGGCGAGCAGTGTGAGACATGAAACTATTGAAGTAGAAAAGACAGCTACATTTAACAGTTTTGGCAGAAAAGAGTGAGAGCAAGATGCCAGCCTAGTTGAGCACTTAAATTCATGAAGTCTGGGAACCAGCGAAAGCAGCTCATCGAAGCAGTTACCATGAAAGTATTTGTCTGTGAGAGAGTGGCTGCAGACGAGATGCCAGATCAGGACCAATTACATTGCATATCCGTCTTTGGATTTTATCAAGGACCTTGAGACAATTAGAAGGGGCTCCAGACCATATATGGCAGCAATACTCCATGCAAGGGCGAATGGTTGTTTTGTAGATTTGAAGGATCGACTCCAGCAAGAAAAACTTCCTGGCACAGGGAGCCAAATTTCCTAGCGGTGGACAAAGCTATTGACTCAATGTATTCGTTCCTTCTCAGGTCAGTGGACAATGTGAGACCAAGCAGTCGCAAAGAGGTGCTCACGTGGAGTTGAGTATCAGACATTCTAATGGGAGGCAAGGATGGTTCTCTCTGGTGAGTAATAGAGAACAGTTTTGTTTTTGATGCATTAAAGTTAACCAGACAATACCTGCCCCAGTCCACAACTGATTGGAGATCCTTTTCAAGATAAACGGCCAGGTTAGTTTTGTCAGCGACACTAGATTTGTTTTTGAGGCAGGAGTAAATAATAGTGTCATCTGCATAGATGCCTACTTGGAAACCTATGACATCAGGAAGATCATTAATGAAGATAAAGGAGAGAGTAGGGCTTAGGATAGAGCCTTAGGGAACACCTGCGTTTGTGGGATAGGAGCTGGCGGAGAATCCGTTGAAAACGATCTTCAATGTACGGTTCGACAGGAATGATTGTACAATCGACCTCTAATTCCATAACCCTGAAGTTTGTGAAGAATGCCGGCATGCCAACCTTATCAAACGCTTTGGAAGTATCAATAGCCACGGCATGAGCTTCTCTGTCATTATGAAGTGCTTGGTAAACAATTTCAGTTATGGCCATAAGCACATCAGCTGTAAAACGGGCAAAGCAGAAACCATATTGCTTGTCGGAGAGCAGATTATGGGATGTAAGGTGCTTAACCACTTCAGCATTGATTAAAGCTTCAAAGACTTTGCCAAAGAGTGGTAGGAGACTGATAGGACGGTAATTAGAAGGATCAGAAGGGTCTCCAGAGTTCTTAAGGACAGGAACAACGGATGAGGACTTCCAACAGGATGGAAAACAAGATTCCTTGAGGCAGTAGTTATATAATTTGGAGAGGGCAGGGCCAGTTCAGGTGCACATTTCTTCAGGCTGGTATCCCATCTCCAGCACTAGCCTTGTGGGGGGGGGGGGCTAATTTAGAGATGATGCCCAGAACCAATGACGCGGTTATGTGCAAGTCGCTCAATTGAACCTCAGTTCGAAGGAGGAAATCAGGTGTGGGTACACCGGAAGAGTTGAGCATTGAATTGAATGAGAATTTCCGAGCAAAGCATTCAGCCTTGTTGGCAGAAGAGGTCAGAACCTCAAACTGGTTGACCAAAGAGGTATAGAGGGTTTGCTATTGTTAAGTATGCTCTTGCAGAGACGCCAATAATCCTTGGAGCCAAATTTGCGAGATTCAATACGTTCTTTCATTCGAGCAGCATATAGAGACTTTGCTTCATTGAGGACATGCTTACACTCGTTATGGACAGAGACAAAGAGACATCTATTGCAATCAGACATGTTGCTACGATGAAGGTGGAAAAAGTGATTCCTATGGGCAATGGCAGCAGCGGTGAACCAGGAGGAGGAGCTTGATTTGACCTTATATTTCCTTGAGGGGATGAAAGCCTCGATTCCAGCTTTAACCCAGGAGGAGACATTGCGAATGAAATCCCGGAACGAGTCCCAATCTGCTTGTTGATAGCAGAACAATGCTCTAGTGGTAGGAGGTTCTGTGCAGGGGGTGGAGTTGAAGGAGATGTTGACAGACACTACAGTGTGATCAGAGTTGCCAAGAGGGCAGAGCTGCATGGCGCTTCAGGACTCAGGGATGGAGGTAAAACATAGATCAAGAACAGAATCCTTACCATCCAGATTGTAGGGAAAACGTTTTATTTGTTTATTTATTTGAGTTAAATTATTTTGCTTGTTTTTATTTATTTTTTATTTTTTATTTTAATCAGTGCTTTATTAATGTAGTAAAAATTTGTTTATATCGCTTATTTAATAGTTTTGTTTTGGTTTGGGAAGATAAAGCTATTTATTCAGTTTCGGGGTTGACATATAAAATATACAGTATAATAAATAAATAATAAAAAAACAAGTAAAATAAATTAATCTAAATTAATCCAAATAAATAAACTAACAAATTGATCCCAATAAATTAACCGTTAGAAAAAACAAGATAATCAATCCAAATAAATAAATAAAGTAATAAACAAATTAAAAACTGCTTTCGCCAAAATAATAGTTAGAATAAACTACAGCAATCAACCCCAAAATTGAATAAACAGCTTTATCTTCCCAAACCAAAACAAAACGATTAAATATGCGATACAAACAAATTTTTACTACATTAATAAAACGTTAATAAAACACTGATTAAAATAAAAATAAATAAATAAACTGAGTAAGAGGTGAGGTCAAAGGTTAAAAACAAAAACTGTATAATAATGATGATACCCCTAACATAAAAAGTGCATGCAAAATTTTAAAAATTAAAGAAATATGTAAGGTTAGCAGTGCAATAGTTAAGAAAATAGTATGTTTAAAAATAAATGTTCTTTAACCTTGTATAACCCATAAGAATATTTTTTTTTTTTTTTATTTATATGCGATTTAAACTTAACAGTGGATAATTTTATTTTTTGTACTTTAAATTTTAAATAACTATTTTTAAAGTTTAAAACTTAAAAGTAGTTATTTTTTTAGTTAAATTATACTTTTGAGTTTAATTTGCTTTTATTTTCTTACGTACATTTCATGCCATAATTGCACCCAATATGATTTTTTTTAAAATAATTCTGTATTTAAGAAAATGTATTAAAATTAAAATAAAAGAATTACTATTAACAAAAAAAAAAGACAAAATCTGTAAAGAAAGAATTATTGAATTAAAAATGTTAATTGATTGTGTCCACTCCGAGTTTTTTAATTATTAAATTGTATACAAGTAAAATAAATTATCAATGCTAAGTAAAAGAATACAATTTCTTATTCTATATGCTTTTATGAAACTTAGTAGAATGGTCAAAGGCGAGAAATCAGAATTATTTCACTTTTGTATATCCATACCAATGGTTGTTAAAAGGAAAAAATAAAATGAAATTCTTTTTTAAAAGTTCACACTTGAAAACAGAATTCTGCATTAAGCTTTACATTTTCCGATTCTTCAAACATACCTTTAAAATAAAGAATTTCTTCTGGTGAACAGCAACGGGTTGAATTTCAAAATACCACGAAAAAAGTCATTTTTGGTACAATAAGTGTAACTGTAGATTTTCTGTCCATTCTGAACGAAAATAATGTGTTTATTATTAGAATTAAATTATGCAAGCACCAATTCTTAAATTATTTTTGGGTTTTTTTTATGGAATTATTTTTGGTAAGATTCGAGAAAAAATTTTATACTGAGTGTTACTGTTTTTATGTTAGTTAACACTTGATATTGCTTTATTTATTGCTGTAAACTAAACATCTACAGATTTTTCTTTAACAGAACTGTAAAAAAAGATTTGACCAAGACCCCTCTCAAATCGAAAAGGCGTGAGTAGACCCCTCAAAATAATGTTTCCACAAATTTTTCCAATAAAATAAATAACCTATGAACTGTAGTATTCACAGAATATGCAGTACATTCATTAACGAATCGGAATAAGTACTAAGAATTTCGTCTGAATATTGGATAATAATTAATTAATAATTTCCTAATTTTTGGCAAATATTTTAAAACAGTGATTAGCAATTTTTTTGAAATTCATCCCATTGCTGTTCGTCCGAAGAAATTCTTTTTTGCTTTCATTACGGAATAAAACATCCATTTCGGTGGTACCTATAACTTTGAATAATGTCAAACAAGATCGATCATTACATGTGGGGAGGCGCAATATTCCAATGGAATGAATACAGGAAACGAAGATAACAACTCGAGGGTAGGGGCCTATTTCACTTTTCTTTCTAGTCTACCTCTGCGTAGTCGCAACACAAACAAGTTACAACGATCTCTAATTCATTCATAAATTTTCGTTGTAACATCTGTATTTCAGCCATTTATTGACTAATAATACTAATAACACAGGGTAACTAATTCTTTGACTAAAATAAAAATTAACACTAACAGCCTTTTTTTAACTCATTCGTTTATATTCCTATCTGTTTTAAAACAAAAAAAAAACTCAGTTTGACTACCATTTCTTTCAGGTCCATGGTTGGTAAATGAATGGTGATATTAATTAGCCGTTTCCCTATAAGGAAACATTTGGCATTCGTTGACCGAGCAGTCGGTACTGTTTTCGGTTGAAATTTATAAATAAATAAAAAATTATTAAAAAAAAAACACTTCAGGAAAACAGATTTCTGAAGCCCCGTAGTGAGTATTATCGCTCTTTAAGGGTTTCCTTCCGAACATTCCATTTGAGGTGGTTTTCAAGGTTAACACAACAGTAACTACGTCATTATTTTTAATCTTCGAGATAACTACTTGAATAAAAAAAAACAGTTGTCTAAATAAATGGAATAAGCGGAAGCCTAATTGGGTAAAAAAAAAAAACAACAAAAAAAAAAAACAGTGAAGCAATTACAATATGTTGACAAGTACGTCTCAAGCACAATAAGGTTATCTTATATAAATTAGAGAAGGTTTTCTTTGAATTTATTGTAATTATTACTGAGAATTTAAGAAATATAAGTTGACTAAATCCTAGAAAAAAGTAAAAATACATCAATAATTTACTAATTTACTTTTTTCTAGGATTTAGTCAACTTATATTTCTCTGTGCACCCAATAAACGTTAGTTATGTCCCAAGGTCTTTAATCTATTAAGAAAAAAACAGTATTTTTGTTTCAATGAAACTAAAATATTTCAAACTTACCCTATAAAATAATTTAATCGAACACGTGTTCTAAAGGCAACAAATAGTAGCCATGTTTGTTGCGGTGTATGAAGAAAAAATGACCCTTCTTAAAAGAAAGAAAATAAGAGTGAAATCAATTCGGGATTTAATGCTTGGAAATTATTAATTTATTAATGTCGAATATTTGAGTTTTATAAGTATAGTAAAGGAATTGATGAGGAAACTTTTTTTTATATGAAAAAACGGCTTAGTGAACATTAAAGTTAACATTCAGAGGCGACAGGCTCTTTTTAACGTAATCGCCAGTTCGCATACATATCGCTATCACTTGACTTAAAATATTTTTGCCCTTCCTTGCCTTTAAAGGAGTGCCCTTTGCCGTGCTGATGTTGCTACATGCTTTACTTCTTGCCTATCTCACACTGCGAATTTTTTCTAAGCTCTATCTAAGTACCTCCACTATTTCGGCATAAATTTTCGATACCTAAGTTTAAAATGAATTTTTTTATAATGAAAAAACATTCTTGAAGATTTCATTTTAGCTTTAATTGAAAGTTTAATAACTAAATTTACGATTTCTATTAATTAAACAATTCTGGTGTATTTACGAAAAAAAAACTAAACAAAATGAACACAAAACGATCAGCTTTAAAAAAGGACTCGTAACTGGAAAAAACGAATGAAAAAAGAATGTTAACAACAAATACTTTTTCACACCCAACCCAGTTCTTCGAATCAGAATCAACGTTGAGTTTAAGCAAGCGAATGAGCCAATTGGAGTAAAAAGTGCCATGCAGATTTAAATTTTTTTTCCCACTTGTGACGAATGCAGCTATCAATTTTTTTTTTTTTTTTTGCATGCTAGCATGCTAGTTAACATACGTATCAGTCAGCTGTTGGCTCTCACGCTGGCCAATAGAATCTTCCTGCTTATTGGTGGCAGCCAGCTATAGGCTCTCACCTGACCGTGCAGAAAATGGCCGCAAACTTACATGAAAAATGCTGTAGAAGCATGAAAAAATCGATTATTTCCACTATCGATGGGAGTTGGAAATGCAAGGTCGGTCTTGGCCTTCCCACTAACTTGGAGCATGTGCATGCATGTAAATTTTGGTGCAAATCTGTCGAAAATTGTGGCCGTGCATTCGTTACACACACACATCATCCCCTTTTTTATATATATATATATATATATATATATATATACACACATATATATATATATACATAAATACATATATGTACATATATATATATATACATACATATATATACATACATATACATATATATATATATATATATATATATACATATATATATATATATATCTATATACATACATACACATATCTATATACATACATACATACATATACATCATATATATATACATACATACATATACATACATCTATATACATACATATATATACATGCATACATATATATTCATACATATATATATACATACATATATACATACATAAACATAAAAATATATACATACATATACATACATATACATATACATACATATATACATACATATACATAAATACATATATATACATACATATACATAAATACATATATATACATACATATACATAAATACATATATATACATACATATGTATATACATATACATATATATATATACACATATATATATATTAAAATAACAGGAAAGAATAATGAGATTTATAATTAGAGTTCTTAGCATTTATTTTTTATTTAAAAAAAAACAGTCCTCGATACAACAGTATAATATAATTGTTTTTTTAAATATATTATCATCGCAACACCAAAATTCCCATGTTTCAAAACTGAAATTTCAATTTAAATTCAGTCATAAAATTTAAACTTAAAATACAAGTTCCGTGCCATTATCAAGCAGTGCTAAGAATAACTTTTTAGAAATTGGTATACTTAATTTACAAGTCCAGACAAATTTGATATTTTAAAATTAGAAAGCTATTACACAGAGAATTTAAAACAACGGAAACAGTAAGAACTAAATTCTAAGTATTTTTGGAGTATGTGTAAAAATCCTCTTCTTTTCCTGACCCTGAAATTACAAACTGAATCTACCGAATGTCAAGGATAACTCAAACCTTCCAAAGTTTAAACAAAGGGTATTGTCACATTGTACTTTGGGAACATTTGCAGTAAAAAAAAAAAAAAAAAAAATTGTTGTAAATACGTAACATTTCTAAGGATAAAATATGGATATCTTTCCTGGGGTGTTTATAAATTGTACACTGTTCAATTATTAACGTTAACAACAAACTATTTTAAATTACAAACTTTTACTTGGATTAAATGGAAAATAATTACAATATAATACATATTACTTATATTACATTCCTTCTTGCCGTTAATTTTGACAGCACGGATAGACTGGTACATAAATAATACATATATATAATTTATATAATAATAATTAGGAAAAGACCTTAAAAATCCGTCGTCAATGATAAATTTATTTCGATGAATAAAATAAATTATATATATATATATATATATTGCAAGAAATAGATACAAATTATTTCCTAAAGGCATTATGAAAAATAAAAAATAAGAGATGATAACACTTACAGAACAGACCAACCGGTTTCGTTCCCAAGCTCATCAGGGTCGACTGGGAACAATTTAACAATTATTGCAATATATATTGACTCACACAAACATCCTACATACAATTAAAACATTAAAAAATGAAATGATTAATGGTATGAGGAGAAAAAAAAGTATATTTCAAACCGCGTGAATATGCACAGTACAAAGGAAAAAAAGGGGGGGAGTGTGAGGGGAATGTATGATAAACACTAGAGTCTAATAACGTGAAGCCCAAGAAGACAGTCTTTTTGCTTGCAAAGAGACGGCTCCCTGGACCGAATATAGAGACTCGAGTGCCCTAAAATGAAATGGAGAGTGCGAACTGGACAGTACAGTAAACCAATTCGGACTGAAGTTCTTCGCACAATCCCTGCAATTTATCAAATGTTCAGTGATCGCTGACCCGGAAGTATTAACCAACTGGTTCTTACGGGCATCCGGATTAAGAACTCGCAATGGGACATGCTGCCTGATCCTACAATCTAAACGTTGGGAAGTCCTTCTTATGTAGATGCTACCGCAACCACAATTAAAAGAATATATCACGGAAGAAACATAATGGGGAGGAAGAGGATTCTTACGGACAGAGGAAAAGGCAGAACGAGTCGCAAAATGAATCCTTAGTTGAGCAGAAAAATAGCAGTGATGGACAGCAGACAAGACCCGCCTAGCCACAAGCTCGCTCCGGGAACCAATAAAAGGAAGCCGCAAGTAAATAGGATATTTCTGAATTAAGTATTGTTTTTCCTTTCGAAAATTAATAATTTTATCACGCATGACACTGTCAAGAGTATCACTAGGATATCCATTTTTTAATAGAGTGCAGCGGATAAAATCCAATTCTCCATCCAAATATTGTTCACTGCAAATCATCAAGGCCCTATGAGTTAAGGTCTTGATGAGATTGATTTTACGCTTTCTGGGACAGAATGAGTCGCAACGCGTATACAAACCAGAAAACGTTGGTTTGCGAAACACCGAAGTAAGAAATTGAGAAGGAGTCCGATGCACAAGGACATCAAGAAAAGAGAGACAAGAATTAGACTCCTTTTCGATGGTAAATTTCAAAGATGGACGAAGTTGGTTCATATCTGTGAGAAAGGAGTCAGCTTCCACTTCACTATTAAAAAGACAAAATGTATCGTCCACATACCGACGGTACATAGACGGTGCATTGTCATAAGTGAGGAGGACGACTCATAAAAGCCCACAAAAATGTTGGCCAAAGTGGGACCCAAGGGGGAGCCCATAGCAACCCCATCAATCTGTCTGTACATAAAATTGTTAAAGATAAACTCCACAGACATGGTAGCGAATTGCATAAGCTCAACAAACACATTTTCTGGGATATCCGGAGGTGACAAACTACTTCGATATAACATGTTACAACAAATATCAATAGTTTCCATTACTGGAACACAAGTAAACAGAGAACATACGTCAAAGGAACACATAAATTTATTTTTAGAAGGAGTATCACGAATAACCTGAATAAACGAAAAAGAATCTTTAATAGTATACGAGCTAAAATGTTCAACAACAGGTTCAAGAAGGTTTGAAAGAAAACTCGCAATCTTATGTTGAGACGAGCCTGACATGGACAGGATGGGTCGAAAGGGTACATCATCCTTATGAGTCTTCGGAAGACCATACAGACGAGGGCGAATAGACCCAACAGGTCTAATATCATCAGTGACCTCACGGGATATGAAACCACGTTTGGCCCAAGATAAGAGTTTCTTTTTAAATTTAATTTCTAAAGGAATTGTACGATCATGTGTCTCTACTGGACCAAGAGGAATAAATTTTGTAGTGTCACCAAGAATGCTTTGCATTTTGGCGACATAATCAGAATGGTCCAATAGGACAATACCAGCCCCTTTATCAGGACGAGTAATAACCAAGTTATTATTTGCTTTTAAAGTCCTGACTACGGACCGGTGCTGTTGACTCCACTTAGACTCAGAAAGGGCTACAGGAGTTAAAGCATAAGTATGTGCCAAACTATTAAGAGTAGCCTTAAGATCGAGTTTTTAAATGCTTTTATTTATTTTTTTTAATATTCTATCTCGGTCGGCCTTGAAGGCCTTTCCTCGGTCCAGTGACCTTTCTCGGCCTCGGAAACTAGTGGAGGGGTCGAGAAGGATCATCTGTGCGACCTGCTCGACTTGTCGGCATCAGAGTTGCGCTATTATCTGGTCTTGGGCGCCAACGGCGGATTATCTCAGCAATTTTGAGTTTTCGCTTAGCTGGCGATTGACTCGGAATATGCTACCACTCAATGACGTAAACCTTCAAATGGTGCGAGGCAGATTTGCCCAACTGTCATCGGTATGATCGTGACTTAGAGGAAACGGCTTCTACCAGGTGCGCCCTTTCTGGGATTAAATTAAATAAAAAGCTTAATCGCAGTACCTTGTTTGTCGTCTTTGATGAAACATGTATAAATGAAGGATTACTGCCTACATACTTATACACGCACATACACACACACATATATATATATATATATATACATACATATATATATGTGTCGGAGCGTACAACGGCCGAAACATTGTGAATATATTATCAGTGATAGCAACAATATGAGGATAACAGTGCGAACAAGTTAAATAGTATATAAATATATATATATATATGTGTGTGTGTGTGTGTGTGTGTGTGTGTGTACACACGCATATACATATAGATACATACTCATAGATAGATAGATAGATAGATAGATAGATAGATAGAATATTAAAAAAAATAAATAAAAGCATTTAAAAACTCGATTTTTTTTATTCCTGCTATGAGCCAAAGCATAATAAAGAATTGTCTCCCGTGGCTACTCCAGTATTTTGAAAATTTATTGACTTGGCCCCAAAATTCGTTCGCTTTAGTTTAAGTAGAAATTTTACTTAATAATAAAAAACGAACGAAGTTTTTAAGCAACTCAATACAAGTCAATCTTCTACTTTTCTATTAGATCCACAGTAACCAGATTAACAATTATATCACAATGATGCGCCTTTGTTAGCAGCTGATTCATTTTTGTTTGACTTCTGGAAGTAAAACAAGAAACAAATCAGACAGAGGATAAAATTAAAATATTTTGCGCTTGCAAAGCAATTTTGTTTATTCTTTGGAACTAACTTAAAAATCTGGTGCTGGGAAAAGTCAATCATATTTCAGTTCATCCAGTAGCTACGTAAAAAAAAATGTTTGTACTCTTCATCCTTCATTAAAGAGAATTATTGTGAGTATCTGACTTAATTCTTAATTTATCCTAAAGCGATACATTTTAGTTCTTGATATGTTTGATTATGTTTTTAATATTATCTTTTTTCATCTTTCTTAATCACTTTTTTTGATTTGTGAATTCCCGGTCCCTCAAGGTAAAATTCTTGGCACCTTTAAAAATTACTTGTGGTGTGCTGCTCAGATTTGTTTTAAAATTGTTAATGAGGTTGTTAGTGAGGCTGCGTTTTTAGTGAGAGCACATACACAAGGAAATAAGAACAAGAGATCAAATTGCATTCAACAATATAATATATATTGAAAATCAACGAGTACAACAATTGTGCTTATGTATTAATATTTAGGGAGAGAAAAGTAGCTTCCCTTTTACTGATATCTGATGCAAGATAGGAATAATGTATTTAAGAACATTCTTGTTGAAATGTTCAGAGTTCAGTGAATAAGATTTGAATTCAAGAATGAAAAGTTTGTACAAAAAGGATAATAGAATTTGGTTTGTGACTTGGCTTGTGACAGACAGTTAACAGTGTAGTGTAATGGTAATTCTGTGTCTGTGTGTGCGTGAGTAGAAGAATGTAGATACGCGTGCGTTGCTGAGTTCTGCTGATTTATTGTTCTACTAACTTATTTCTGGAGTACGAACTGTTTAAATACTTTTTGGGTAGGCTCCAGAGAGAAGCGGGAAAAATATCGAAAGAAATATCTAGAATACACGATTGGATAAAAATTGAACAATCACTGATTTTTTTTTTTTACAAAACCAAGTTAGGCAAAGTCATGGCAGAAAATTTTGTGTGGTTACTGCGATAGATAAATTGTCCTGTAGTAAACAGTACTTATTTTTTTAAGCGTTTCACCCCAAGCAAGGCGAGAAGCCACTACGACGCAAGGGGTTACAGGAAATTTGGAGCAAGATCAGATAGGAGTGATAGAAGAAAGGGTGAGGAGAAGGGTAGTGGATAGATCAAGGTAACTGGAGATGTCGATTGACATTACATTTGAATAGCTGGAATAAGGAAGGGAGTTCCACAGGTGAGAGGTGCAAGACATGAAGCTATTGGAGTAGAAGAGACGGCTACATTTAGGAGTTTCGAGAGTGAGATGCCAGCCTCGTAAGGCGCTGGAACTCATGACGTCTGGGAACCAGCGAATGCAGCTCCTCGGAGCAATTGCCATGAAAGTATTTGTAAAACAGACAGAGAGAGCGGGTCTGTGAGAAAGTGACTGTAGACGAGATGCCAGAGCAGGGCCAATTATATTGCATATCCGCCTCTGGAGCCTATCAAGAACCCCGAGGCAAACAGAAGGGACTCCAGACCATATATGGCAGCAATACTCCATGCAAGGGCGAATTGTTGATTTGTAGATCTGGAGGATCGATTCCGGGGTGAAAAATTTCCTGGCGCGGCACAGGGAGCCAACTTTCCTCGCAGTGGACGAAGCAATTGACTCAATGTATTTGTTCCATCTCAGGTCAGCAGTCAACGTAAGACCGAGCAGCCGCAGAGAGGTGCTTTCGAGAAGTTGAGCGTCAGACATTCTAATGGATGGCAGGAAAGGATCTCTGTGGTGATTAATAGAGAGCAGTTTTGTTTTTGAAGCATTAAATTTGCCCAGCCAATTCCTGCCCCAGTTCACAATCGATTAAAGGTCCTTTTCGAAACGCACGCCCAGGTTAGTTTTGTCAGTGACACTAGATTTGTTTTTGAGGCAGGAATAAATTGTGGTGTCATCCGCGTAGATGCCAACTTGGGAATTTATGGCTCAGGAAGGTCATTTATGTAGATAAGGAATAGAGTGGGGCCTAGGATGGATCCTTGTTCGTGGATAGGAACTGAAGCAGAATCCGTTGAGAACGACCTTCAGTTCACGGTTTGACAGGAATGATTGTATTAGGTTATATAATCGACCCGTAATGCCATAATCCTGGAGCTTGCGAAGAAGGCCGGCATACCAAACCCTATCAAACGCTTTGGAGATGTCTAGGGCCACGGCACGAGCTTCCCCGTTATTTTGAAGAGCTTGGTAGACAGTTTCAGTGATGGCCGTAAGCACATCAGCTGTGGATCGGGCAAAGCGGAAGCCATATTGCTTGTCTGAGAGCAGATCATGTGATGTGAGGTGGTTAACCACTTCGGTATTGATTAGGGCTTCGAAGACTTTGCCGAAGAGGGGTAGGAGACTGATAGGACGGTAGTTACAAGGGTCAGAGGGGTCGCCAGAATTCTTGAAGACAGGAACAATCGAAGAGGACTTCCAGCAGTCAGTAAAACAAGATTCCTTGAGGCAGTAGTTATATAGTTTAGAGAGGGCCGGCGCCAGTTCAGGCGCGCATTTCTTCAAGACAATGGCTGGTATCCCGTTACCACCACTAGCCTTGTTGGGGTCTAAATTGGAGATAATGCCAAATACCAAAGACGGGGTTATGTGTAACTCACTCAATAGGGCCTCAGTTCTAAAAGGGAAGTCGGGTATGGGTACACCGGAAGAGTCGAGCGTTGAGTTGAATGAAAATTTCCGAGCAAAGCATTCAGCCTTGTCGGCAGAGGAGGTCAGGACTTCGAACTGGTTGAACAAAGGAGGTATGGAGGGTTTGCAATTGTTCAATACACTCTTGCAGAGACGCCAATAATCTTTGGAGCCAAATTTGCGAGATGCTATACGCTCCTCCATTCGAGCAGCAAATAGTGACTTAGCATCGTTGAGGACACGCTTACACTCGTTACGGACGGAGGCAAAGAGACGTCTATTGCAGTCAGATATGTCGCTACGAAATAGGTGAAAGAAGTGGTTTCTTTGGGCGATGGCGGCTGAGCAAGCAGCGGAGAACCAGGGGGAGGAGAGCGACCTGACCCTATATTCCCTTGAGGGGATGAAAGCGTCGATTCCAGCTTTAACCCAGGATGAGACCTCAGAAGCACATTCTTGGACGGGGAGCGTAAAGACAACATCCCAGGGGACATCGCGGAGGAAATCACGGAACGCGTCCCAGTCAGCTCGTTGATAGTAGAACGAAGTTCTAGTGGTAGGAGGTTCTTTATAGGGGGTGGAGTTGAAGGGGATGTTAACAGATACTACCGCATGATCAGAGTTATTTTCTATACAATTATAACTGAGTATTTTGTGGGCGTGATAAATCACTACATACTGATGATAAAGACATTCAATTCAACAAATGTAAACTGAGTTAAACTGAAAGACACTGCCTTCGAGTTTGATCGTTAAAAATATAAGATTATTTTGGTAAAAAAAAAAAAAAAAAAACTACGGAAAAAATAGTCCAAAAATAGTTTCAGATAATATTATCAGCACATCACAAATGACACGATCCGAGTTTAAAAATAAGGAATTAACTTTCTTGATTCCCAACGAGCGTTACTGGTATTTATTGTATATAAAAATACAATTATGGCACAAGGCCGAAAAAAGGGGAGGGATTGAGGCTGGTCTTCACTATCTTATAGGTATAATCCGATTCACGACCCATTCACTCATTACAATTTGCACAGTCATCACAAAAATTCGTCCATCACCAATCAATCCTCCAGACACCATAATACCCCATCCTATCAAGGGGGCCTACAAAACGCACCCCATGCCATAAAAATTTAATGATAATAAATTATTATATATAAAATTCTAAAGATGAAGAATGAGAACGGAGGAAGATGAACCCAATAACAAACTAAACATGAACACAAAGTAAACTAAACATAACTATTATAATAACTAACATAATTATAATAGCGTTACTATTAGAAACCATGACGTCACCACAAGCTTGTATGTAAATTTTAAATCATTGCGCGTGCTAAAAATCTCCTTTCTACGCCGACATGCCTTGAGTAAAAATCTAGGCAGACCCTGCCGAGAGGTTTTGCTTGTCGATCCCCAACTGAAGGTCAATTATTTTTGTATTCTTTATCACAGATTTGTACATCCACTACACACAATTTAATTAGACATCTTCTACAAATATAAAATGTTAAATTTTTCTCTATATTTTTGACTGAGTTTCAAGAAAGAAAAAAAAAACTCTTTCCTTCTGACAAAGGAAGTTTATTGAAAGAAATGTGTTCAGTTTTTCAATTCAATATTTTGATTTTGTTTCTCTTTCTATTTGAAGCTCCATGAGTGTAAAAAAAAATTATCTCTAACGATGTTTTCCTTAATATTCATTTCCCTTAAGATTGCTTGTTTGTGAATATGACATCGATTAAATTTAATAAATGCTATAAATTTTAATTTTTTTTTTATTGTCTCTTTTAAATATTTATTTCAATGTTTTGTTTTTTAGTTGTAATCGTTGGAATAAAAACAATCTTTTTCATTTGTCTTGCGTCTTAAGCGTCGATTTCAATTACCTGATTGTTATTGTAGTGTGATTGGCAAGTAGGATTTTATTTGCATATTATGTTGGTTATAGGATAAATAAAATGTAAAGAGTCGGGTAACATAAATTTAATCACTGACCTCGGCGTGGTGTAATGGTTAGCAATCTTGTCTCGCTAGATCAGTTACA